TACCATCAGGCGTCAAACGATCATTTTCTGCTACCGTCAGCATCAAATTGGTTAAAATTTTATCATGGTTAGTCAAAAGATCCTTTTTGTGATTCGTCACAGGTCTCAAATTATTATTCGTCACCATTATTTTTTGTAAGAATTTAACGAGATTCGTCAAAATCAGTCAATTTTATTATCGTCATAAAGAAAATGTAAATTTTAACGTCATGCACAAAAAAATACTGTTAATGTCATTTGGCAAGATTTTTTACCGTTATTGGTCATGAAGGTACCCCCATTACGACCCTCATACATGAAGGATATTATACCAGTAGTCATTTTTAATGTAACACTCCATTTTACAGATGTAGATTTGGGGGGAGGGGAGAGATCCCCCCCTTATGGAGCTAGATATATGGTTGTACATGTTTCATTCCTAATAGTTTGACCCCCCCTCCCCCTCCCTTTTCAAAATCTTGGATCTGCATCTAATTAAATTTATTGACCAAATACACTCTTTGCAAATCAAAGAATCCCTGCAGTAAAATGCTGAGTCCCTTGTGAATCTTCTGCAAGACAAAACTTTTGCCATATACACCTTATCTGTCTTCAAATGGCATGTTTAAGTTGTTGCCTTTCTTTTGACTAGGCCCATTTTTCAATACCCTAAATGATTGTATGAATTTATTATCCTCTACATGCATTAAATATTTGGTCTGTTAACAATAAATCAATTAATATTTTTGTGAAAACTTTTTTAAAAGTTTGTTGATACAGGTTTTACTATAATAAAAAATTCCTCCAAAATGAATTAATCATTGTTAATAACATATGGCATATTAAACAAACCATAAAACTATATGTTCTATTTATACTTTGTAAGTTAATTGAATCCTACTCCCAGATTATTAAGTTTGTATGTCTATGTCTGTTCATCTGATTCATTACATGCTTTTTTCTTTAAAATGTATTTGCTTTCATTTGATCAATTGATCCTTAATGTAAATGAAGCTCAGTTAGATCTTTTATTGCTGCAATGCTAAGTGCATGTGTACTCTATTATCAGTTCATTTTGAAATGTTGGAGAATATATATTGTAATGTTTCCATAGCATACAATTTGTCCATCCAGGTTCATGAATCCTGCTATTAAAGAACATGAATTCCTCCTTAATTTCAGATTCAGTCACATGTCAAGTCACAATAGCAAAAGTTTCTGGTAGATAAATCTTAGTAATATACATCCAATTGATAGTCTGCTAAACTACCCTTTCCTTTTTCATTGTCATGGATCATGGTCATAGGACTGCATAACTTGTGAAAATTGTTTGACACAATAAAATATATTTATTCAATAACCTTTCTCAAGTGTTTAAAAGTACAGTAAATGGCCATTGTTAAAAGAATGAACATATTCAGTTTAAAGGTTAGAGGTTGTAATGTCAATTTGAGTAAGCTATGCTTCACTTTATTGTTTCTTTGTTAAAATTAATTGAGCCAAGAAAATGTTGCAAAACCTGCCAAAACAATTGAACATTTGTCAAGTTTTTGTGCTGTAGGTTATCAGTACTCTATATGCACTCATGATTACAAGAGTGAGAACAATAATAGTTCTAGAATAAGAAAATACACATGGTCATGACTTTAGTCATAATGACAGTAGCAGTTCAGGAACGATTTAGAAAAGACACAGTTATGTACAGCAAATGTTCTTTGTAATTAGGAAAATGTAAGCATCATGGCTATTGCAATAAAATATAGTCTTTGATAATGATGATGGATGGGTCAGTTCAGCATTTATTTAGCCATATGTTTAAACAATCATGCTGAATTACAATGGTACTGAAGTTTATAGGGTCAGCCAGAAGTCAGACTACTCAGACAACAGATCTGTATGACCAGAAGTGTTTACTGTATAGGGAAGACTTTGACTCACAGTTTTCTTGACATTAACACTGTAATAATAAATTCTTTATTTGAAGAGGGTAAACACAGTTAGTTACAATTACTAATCTTCCCTGGGGCCCTCATATACAATACAAGTAAAAAAATAATAATAAGAAAAAAAAAAAAAAAAAAGCAAACATACAACATATTAACACAATCGTATAGTCATGATAGTTCAATGTACATGTACCATTAGAACATATAAAACAGTTACAGATTGCATGTAGTAAATAGATATTATATAAAAATAAACATCATACATTCTAAAAAAGTAATAGTTGCAATCATTTCAAGACTGAATATTGGGACTGCCTCAAGTATCGTTTTATAATTTGTTTAACAGAAAAAGTGTTTTGCACTTTACGCATTTCATATGGTAGTCCGTTCCATAAAACTGATACAGAATAAGCAAAAGATTTTTTAAACAGTTCAGTTTTTGGCTTAGGAATTATCAAATTACCTTGAGTTACACCCCTTAAAACATAAGGATTATTAAAAGATATAAGTTGAAACTTTTGTAGGTACTGTGGTGCTTCATTTCGCAAACATTTATATAGCAATAATAATCTGTAATAAGATGATGATATAAACTATGGTGAGATGTGAATGTTTTACTACAAAGCGATATGAGCAACCATGTTGTTGTTGTGAACATGATTATAAAGCTATTAAAATGTATAAAAAGTAATTATGCTGCTAAATTGAATATATGGCAACAAGCTGATTTTTTAATGGTTGTAAAATGTAGGTCAGCTCATAAGGCTTAATCACAATATGTATATTATGTTGATGATTTTTTCACTGACAAAGATTTGAAATCCTACTAAAATAAAATAGAAAATCTAACCAAGCCATTTCTTAAAGAGAGGTGAAAGATACCAAACTCATAAGTCAAAAACAAACTGACAATGCCATGGCAATTACAAACAACAGTATACAAAACACAACATAGAAAACTAGACTGAGCAATACAAACCGTACCAAAATTCAGGGGGGAGGGGGGGGGGGGGATTTTGTGTGCTCCGGGAGGAAACTTAATAAATATAACAGACATTTTGCTTGTGATTGTTGACATTTACCATACCAGAAGAATCAACTTACCAGTTTCAATTATATCAGTTTGTTAATCCACAACTCCTTGAAAATGGCTTGACAGAATTCAACCAAACTTGCACAGCCTTTTCTACAGGACATTAAGGTGTGCACTTACTATTTTGATCTGGGTTAGTTTTCGAGTTTGGACTTAACTATATCTGTTGATATTTTTTGGATTCTTCAGGCGACACACACCTTTGTGTGGGGATAACACATTCTTATTATCATTGGGATAAAAATGATTTATGTGATCCCATTTGCAATGCACAAACTTTTTGATTCATTTGAAAAAAGTAATAAATTGTAATATATATGGGGATCTTCAGTAGACGTTTGCTCCTAGTGCATGTTGTTTACTATCAAACATAGTATAAGTTAATCTAATGCAACAACAACAATTTTCTATGTCATTATAGTAATGATTTATGTTATTCTAAAGACATGAATCTCATTAGTAATGAAGTGATATACCATAGTCAGAGTGTTAATGATTACTCTTTAAGTGTTTATCTCATGTAATTACACCTGATGAATCAGTTCATGACTGTCATTACTGAGGTATCATCTGCAACTTAACATTGTCATCTAGTAGGGTGGTTACTCTCTTGTGTCCAGCATATATTATCATGTTGTCAGTTATTATTTAAGTGCCAATCTGCCTAAGAATCAGGCAGTGGTGAAAACATGACAAACAAAAACCCACTCAGGTTAACATTAATTTAAGTTCAGAATGTATAATGGTGCATGAATATAACATTCGTTTCCTTTCCCTGTTCTGGTAATTCAAGATATAATTTGGTTGAAATGCACTAGAAATTAACAATTAAGGGGAGATAACTCCGTAATATGCTATCATTCTAACCAAAAGTTATCTAGAGATTTCTTGAATTACCAGACACACAGAATTGAAAGACCTACCATTTCTAACTCAGGATGAGGATACCTTCAAAATAGGGTGGTTAGGTCGGTGGGTTTTTTTCGGCCATGTTTTGAAATTTTTCTAAATTGCCTGATTCTTACAAAGACTGGCACTTAATGACCAATGAAATCAGTAAAGATTCTATTACCTATAAGTGATAATTAAGTAATAAGTGAAGTGATAAAGATTTCGAATAACTTTAGATTATAGAATTTTTAAATCCCCATACTAGAAGTTGCTGAAAAAGTAGTGAGACAGCTTCTTTTCTTAATTGCTCACACAAGTTTTTGTCAAAAGTATAATTTCATTATTCCAGTCCATTAAGTTCCAGAAGATTTATTTGTTACAAATTATTTTTGGATATAACTACTAATTAACAGACAGTGATTTATACCCCAAACACAATAAAGTCATAGACTAAAGAACTGTTTCAAAACTAGACATTACATGTTATAAGCTACTATAGACTAGTTAATAAAATTCTTACATGTAAATATGGGAGAATTTCCCTTTTATAGCTCAAATTAAGATTACAAAAAGAATCCAACAAAACTGAGATAGTATTTTATTTTCATTAGTTGTAACATACTGTAAATTCAGAAATTATTGCGAGGTTTTTATTAATGCGAATAATGCGACTGGGTGAGTATCGAATTGATAAGAACTCGCATTCTGATTTTGATGCATATGTCTGTATACAGTTTTTCCTGAAATCACAATGATTAATCTCGCATGTTTTTCCATTCTTCAAGAATCGCAATAATTTCTGAATTTACAGTACTCAGGTCTATGAATTATGTGGACAAATTGACATAATATTATCATTGGACATATCAAATGGGTTTGATGTTCTAAAATTTGTTTAATTTGATATTAAATGAATTATAATCAAAATATGTGGCCCAGCAGAAAAAACAAATTACAGAAAGATCATTTTAAAGGAAATGGTATAAAATAACAAAGGGAAGATAAAAGTATATTTAAGCATCACCACCTAGCATTTTCATTATGGCAACACATTTACAAAATATTATCATTTAGTTTTTTTATATTTTCAGGTACAACAGGCCTGTATTATTGTGGTATGAAAGTGTTATCATGTAGTTGTTGTGATGGACACTGCGGACCAAACAATGGCTGTAACTGCCCACCATGTCAAAAACTTGATAAAGAAGAGGAAGAAATTAAAAAAGAAGAGGCCAAAAGACCCAAGTTTTCCTCCTCTCAGATAATAGATTCATGGACATGGGGACCACAGCCAGGTAGGGAAATTCATAACACTATACAGAATAAAAAATCAGCAAGTCAATGTTATCAGCTTGAAAAGAAAAAAAAGAATTAACCCAACAATCAGCCATTTGACTTGGCAGATAATTTATGCAACATTTGTAGGTTATACAGTTACTGTCACTATTCAATTTAGTTTAACAATTTAATAATAAATAAATGAATATAGACATTTAAAAAGTTCTTGGAGACCTAACTGAAAATATAAGGTGCAATAGTGTTGTATAATTCCACTTCCAAACATCCTAATCTACGTAGGGCAAACCAAACCTACATTGGAAACTAAATGATATTCATTAGTAAAACACTTGAAAAATAACCTTGATTATTTGTAGATTCTGGTCAATTGAAGGAATGTCTAGACTCATTACTACATGAACATTTGAAGTTATGCACAGAAGCAGCATGCTCGTCATTGTCAGTAACTCGCCTACAACAAAGATTGGCTGTTTTAGAACGATACTTTGTTGCCTTGGGACGTCAGACACCTATAGAAGGAAGAACACCATCCAAGAAAAGTCAGGCAAACCAAACTAACCTTAGTAAACAAAAGAGGTAATTCTACTCTTAATTCAGCTACAAAACAATATTTCAAAGCCAATTTTTGTCATCTTGTCATAAGTGAGATTTGAAATAATTAAAAGTTTTGTATATGATGCCTTGAATAAAGTTGACATAAAGGCCATTGTTTTTTTCATTCTTATATGTCATTGCATTTAAAAGACACATTTATTATGAATTTTTGGGAGATAATTGACCAAAAAGGATTTCTCCTTTTAACAACTAACACAAAATGTATTCCATTCTTTTGATATTGCTTCATATTGGCAATGTTTCAAACTTGCTCAAAATTTCAGCCAGCTCTGACCACCATTGATCCAGTTTTGAAATTAAAAAAAATGTTTTGGTCAAAATTATGGTGTAACACAAACAGATGAGATAGCAAATTTGTACTTTCTGTAGATGCAGTTTAGAAAAACTTAAAAAAAACAATATCTCCTTTTTGAATTTATTTTCTAAGTTTTGTTATTATACAAAATTAGTACCTGCAACTACATTGTATTACCATTTTATTGAATTTTTTTATATTCAAAATTAAATGAAAGAGGTACACAATACAATTATCTAAGAAGAATGTTTGTTGGAAAATTATTCTAAACATGAAAAAAAAAATCATAAATATCATTGAATATTTTCATGGTCATTTTTCATTGCAGTTCCTCTAAACCAGTAGAGAAGGCTACTATTGGTTTGGCTAGAGTGGGTTCTAGAGCTGCCTTGAGCTTTGCCTTTGCCTTTCTTCGTCGAGCTTGGAGATCTGGAGAAGATTCTGATCTGTGCAGTGAACTGCTCCAGGAATCATTGGAAGCTTTGCAATCCCTCCCAGAGGCCACACTATTCGAAGAAGGATCTGTATCAGGAGTCTGGATAGAAGTAGTGGAGAGAGCTACTAAATTCTTACATTCAGTTGTTGGAGGGTAGGCTAGACATTTTTTGATATTGATAAAATAATTACATAGACCTTTAAAGATTTTGTCAGGTCATTTTCTGTTGATCTTTGCAGTACATGATATATCAAAGTGAAAATTATGTTTGTAATTTTGTCCATTTTAATTCTTAAGGTTGCATTTGCTTATCTCCTGTGAAAAAAGTCTGAAATAATGTTTGTTTCAGACGATTTTGCTATTCCAGCAATATTGTATAATTGTGTCATTGTATTTTTAATTTTTGAATATCCATTTTATATTTCAAAAATATATATTTTGTTTGATAGTGAATTTCGTATATGATGGTATTTGGGTAATGAATTGACCCTTACATTATCAGATAATCATAATTGTAAGGTATGTAAGAAGGATGATAAATTCTTAGATATTTTTTATTTTACAGAGACCTAAATGGAAGTGCTAGTTCCAAAGGATCCAGTAAAATTCCTGTGCAAGACCAACAAATAGCATTATCTCTACTGTTAGAACTTTCTATACAACGAGGATCTCTGAGTTCTGTCTTGGGCTCAGTTCTTCTACTCCTGAACTTGTGGAACAATAGCCATCATGAGTTTGATAATCGTGTTAGTTGTAGTCTGAACTGTGCTCCATTAATACCAATTCTTAAACGCTACGAGAAAATCCACAGTGCTAAAACAAGAACAACAGAAGTACACAAGTGGAGTGAGGTATGTACTACAATTAAAGATTGACCCTCAAATTGGCTCTACGTAGTGAAACTGAGTTGTACAGAAAAAAAAAATTAATCTGCTGACCCATTTACATTTTTATTATAAATAATGGAAATCTTCTTATTAATAACACATCATTCTAAAACAAAATTCTTAAGACATGTTTTTGAAAAATGTGTATTTAATGTAAAAAAAACCCAACATATTTACTGCTAGTTTTAGGTGCATTCTTTACATTTATAGATCATTATTACATTGATCTTACCTCTGGAAATATAAATGCCACAAATCATTTTTCATATTCAGATGCAGATGCAGATCAACAATTTATAAATGCTCTCAAAATTTCATGAATTTCTGAAAACTGGCCAATTATGTATATTTCACCTTAGATACAGTGTTAAAGTTGTCTTAAAAATATATCATGGGGTTTCTTTAATTTTTAGGGAAGTAATTTTTTTTTTAAAACATTTTTTTGTAATTTCAGATAAACTTCAATTTTTTGTTTTTGATTGCTTGAAATTATTGTTGATTATTGCCTGAAATCCATAGTTGCTGTCAATTTATGAATAGAATAATATTCAGATATTAAAATGTATCCTATAATTATTTTCTTAGAATGAAGTATATGGAATCAGTCCCACCGAATGTTTCTTGCGTTACCTCACATATCCAGAAGATTATAACGTACCTGTAGACTTACGGCAGTGTGCTGTCGTCATTATGTCACATTTAGATAGACTTTGTCAACCTTATTTACCACCAAGTCATTCACAAAAGGTAAGTTTGTAAACTTTCAGTTTTATTTTGAATATTTTCATAAGAGACTTCATAATTATTGAATGGTTTTTTAGATATACAAAATTACCACATTCACCAAGTTACTGTAGGACTGTGACCAAATAACTGATGTTCATAGACGTTTCCAGTCGTCATTTTATATGAAAAATGTATGATTTTGGTCCTCATTTGAATAGAAGAATTCTGTTGAATTGTAATATATTTTCTTTGAAGTCTTTAAGAATTCTCGTGCTGTTGGTATTCAAATATACTTCTGTTTCCCTCTGTTGTCTTTTGCCGATGGCATTGTTTGTCTTTTCATCATATGATTTACTTATGATTTTTACTGCTCCACCCATAGGTTTCTTCATCTTACTTAAAATATATTTTGAATCAAAGAAAATTTCAAACTGGTAACACATGTGCCATATGATTTCAATAGATCAACAAACCTGTCTAGAACATTCTGTTAGCTAGATATTGAAATGTTTACATCACTACTGTTTCAGATATTCCAAACATGTTTCAAAATTATGAATCATTTTTTTTTCAGTCTACAAGAAGTAGTTTGAGCCAGGAAGTAATTGGCTGGGGATGGTTGTCATGGTTAGGTGGTAGCAGTGGTCAAGGGCCACACATTTTAGAATTTTTCAATGATGTAGGTGGTGTGTCAGAAGTTGCTTGTGCAGAGAGATGCATGTTGGTTCTGGCTAAGAATGGAAAAGTTTTCATGATGTATTACTCGGCAGACACAGCAGTATGTATATATTTTTCTAGCCATACTATTGGCTACTTGATGTAACTTTTACAAGATTGGTCAGTTCAAATTTTTTCTTTAGAAGAATAATAAAAAAAAAACTTTTCACTCTGGGTACACAGTTCAAAATTTTAAAAGTAAAAAGAAAACTTCAATATATATTGATATTTAGAACATAGAGTTAATAAAAGTTTTTTTTGTAGGAAATTAAAATGTAGGCATTTCACCCTCCTTATTCAAGTGAAAGATAGATTGATGAACTATTGTTTGCTTGGTTAATAGAAAAATCTAAATAAAAAAAACTGATGTGTAACAATTGATATTTTATGTTTTTATTCCTTCTTTATTTTACATGTGTTTTACCCAATTCCTAGAGGTCATGGGTTCAATTCTAAAGTAGTTCAAACCAAACACTTAAAAATTGGTACATATATTTCCTGCTTCTCTGCTGAGCAAGCAGTGGCTAGGAGTAAAAGCAAAGACTGGGAGTCAAAATAATGTGTCTGGGTAGAGTGACATGTTTACCTTGGGACTGTTACCTTGTGAACTAGCATGTTAAAAATCTGCCTCATCATGTTTGTCTGGTCCCAGAGTGCTAACTGTTTTATAAAATGATAAATAACTACTTGGTTTTGATGGAAGGGCACCAGTGTCTGATCGACATATTTTTACACTCCATTTTTAGCTCTTATTATCTGAGAACATATGTAATGATAATTGTGATCTGCAAAAGTTCTTATATTTCAGTCTCTACAGTTAGTGACAGGATTTGGCGACAGACAGGTAGTAAAGATAGCCACACACCCTGATGGTAGACATTACTTAGCTTTAACCAGTGATGGAGAGGTGTTCTCCTGGGGAAACGGTGATGGAGGAAGATTGGGACATGGAGATTCAATGTATGTTTTATACCAAAAACAGTCATTGATATCAATGTTATGATATAGATTGTTTTCTCTTTTAGTGCAGTAGATCGAAGAAGGCTTTCACAGATATAAATTGCTAAATTTTAATCATGATAAGTTTTGTATTGAAAATGTATTTTAATTTTGTTCTTTATTAAATCTGGAGTTATTTATGTAATGTATGAAAGCATCAAAATGAAAAGAGCCTAAAGAGAATAGCCAAGATAGTCTAATGCTAACTTTACCTGTGTGAGTTGCTATTTTAGTGGTTGCTCAATAGCATAATTTTATGAACAACAAATCTACAAATTATCTTCATACTTTTCAGAACAAGAGAAGAACCAACTCTGATCACTGCTCTATCAGGAAAACAAGTTTCCTATATTTCCTGTGGAAGTACCTACAGTGCTGCTATTACAGGAAGTGGAGAATTATATACATGGGGGCGTGGTAACTATGGAAGATTGGGACATGGAGCCAGTGACGATGTTAGTGAGCCAACCATTGTCAAAGCTTTGAAAGGACATAGAATTGTAGACATTGCTTGTGGCAGTGGAGATGCTCATTCGATAGCCGTGTCTGACACAGGTCAGTGGAAAAACATAAATGAAAGTGGTAGTTTACTCATTGTTAAAAAAAAGCATGTCAGTGTATTTGTTAAGAGTTCAAAATCATTGCATTTCAGTGAATACATTCATTAAAGATTTCATCAGGTTTTTAGGTTGAAAAATGTAAAGATTACAGGATAGATATTTATTAGACTATTTACAATAGCTGATAAGAAAGTTCAGTTTGATATTTATGTTTTTTTATTTAGGAACAATAGATCTTCTTTAAATCATTTGGGCAATTTGAATTAAAATTGGAGTAAATCATAACGAGATTGGGTTTTTATAGAATTATTTTTCAACATTGTGTCCTTTTAGCAGAAAATATAGTTTGACAATACTGTCACTAAGAGTAAGTCAGTATTAAGTATTTGCCAGCTAAGCAATACAGATTGCATAGACCTTTTAGTTTATTCTGAATTACAGGTGCTGTATACACTTGGGGAGATGGAGACTATGGTAAACTGGGCCGTGGTGGTAGTGATGGGTCTAAATCTCCAAAAATTGTAGAGAAATTGATTGGACAAGAAATCAATAAGGTCTACTGTGGAGCTCAGTTTAGTCTGGCTCAAACAAAATCTGGAGCTTTATTTTCATGGTAAGTTTTTCTTACTTTGTTAACAAAACAGAAGATACTATTTGAAGTGTCATAACGTTTTCTGCAGTTGTTGGTTATAAGTGTGAATAAGATACTATTCATGTCAAATACCACAAACATATAATCCTAAACAGATGAGAAAAAAATTTCCATCATCAATTTTAGTATAAAGTACTCATTTTTTATAAAAAAAATGCAGAGAAGAGCCCAGGTGTAACAAAGAAACAGTATCAATTCTGTTATTACAATCTCTTTTTCTAACAATCTTGTGTTCACTTGCAGTATTGATACCTAAAGCAATATTGTTTTATGATTTAGGGGAAAGGGAGATAACTTTAGATTAGGACATGGATCAGAGGAACATGTTAGACATCCAAAACAAATAGAATCTTTATCAGGAAAGAAAGTGATTAACATTGCTATAGGGTCTATGCATTGTGTGGCTATCACAGAGGATGGAGAACTTTATGGCTGGGGAAGAAATGAACATGGACAGTTGGGAGATGCATCATCTAACTGTAGGTCTGTGCCTACTGTACTATCAGGACTGGATGGCAAAAATATCATTGGAGCTTCTTGTGGTCCAAATCAGGTACGATTCATTTTGTTGTTTTCAATTTAGAGTAAATTCTATGTAATGTACTTTGTATAATATAATTCCAATAATGCATTCTCAGTACTTCTTTGGAATATAAAGCAGGCCAATAAGATTTGTTTGTCAGTTTATTGGTGTACTGTAATTGGACCAAAACTCTATAGTGCTCTTTCTAATAAAATATTGAATTGAATAAGTCAAAGGCCTGCCATTTAAAGATTTAAAACAGGAATAACAGTAATATTTTAACATTGTCTTATCCAACATAAAATCTATTTACTATATGAAGTTTTTCTAACATGTCTTATCCAACATAAAATCTATTTACTATATGAAGTTTTTCTAACATAATCTTTGCTAGACATTTGCCTGGTCCTCTGGTGGACAATGTATGATCAGTGGCAGGATTCCCTTTGTTGTTGACATCTGTAAGTCAGCATTTGAACAACTGGATGAGTTATTGTCTGACGTGTGTGAAGGAATGGATGGACGATCAGACTGGCCACCACCTCAAGATAAAGAATGTATTGCTGTAGCTGGTCTAAATCTACTCAACTTACAAGTAAGTCTACACTTTTCCTTAGGTATGAGGGTAACTTACCTAACCATTAGAGAACCTAAAGGGAGTAGACAGAGGTACATCTGACTGCCTTCAACCTCAAGTTAAGAATGTAAAATTGTAATTGATCTGCATAAACTCAACTTATTGTAAAGTTTTACAACTGCCCATAGTTTGAAGAAAGATATGACTGATTTGAGAAGTTAAGCCCCAAGTCAACCTGTCAAAATTTGCATCAAATATAAAAAGCTGCATAAAATTAAACGCTTGGAATAGTGTGGCAGAATCTTTAAAAATCATTAGTTGTTATGACTTTAAATCTCACATGTGTACGACATTCATAGTTCCATATTGTCTATAATAGCCATCTTAATATAATGAGAATATAGCGAAAAAATGCTCACAATATTCAGGTTTTTCATGTTTATAATAAAAAAAAGGAATGAATGGTGAAAATGAAGGAAGAAAAACATTGAAACTGTGCTTTTGTTCTACCTATTAAACACATTCTAGATTGGGAATTTTCCTACAGTGACAAAATATGTAAAATTATAAGAATAAAATAGCATAGCGAATAATTAAACATGTACAGTATAATTAGACTTATATTGTTTAAAATGTTCATACTTAATTAGTTTCATTGTTGTAAATTGTTGAATATTATGATGCATTTGAAGTTCAGTAACATTTTTTTTACACTTTCAGCTCCACGCTGCCATATCACAAACAGAGTTCTTAGATTCTCTTGGATTAGGAATAGGTAGTCCTTTAGTAACCAGTCTGAAACAGAGAGTTGTGTCCCTTGCAAGCAATCAAGGAGTCATCAGTACAGTCCAGTCAGCTGCCCAGAATGCACTGCAGAGTGGATGGTCCATCCTTTTACCAACAGCAGAAGAAAGAGCTAGGGCTTTGTCATCACTTCTGTCAGCAGGAGGTAATTTTTTTTTTTTTTTATCTCAACCAAAAAACATTAACTTTGTAAGAAATTAATAGCTGTCCAATTCATTTGCATAGTTGTTAACATGAAAAAGACGACACTTGGAAAGTTTTAGCCAACTACACCACTTCATATATAAGCCATAATTAAATCAAGCACTAGGACACTAATTCTTGTTTTCTTATCATAATGCTTCCTTTATGATGATTTTCATCACTTCTATAGCTTTGCGCCATGGACAAAAACGATGCATTATAAAGGTTGGGAAATAACTGTTGTGTCAGACTGTACATTTATGACAAGGGAAAAAAAATTTCATGACGAAAACATAGTTATAAGATTTTTTATTAGGAGATTTTTAGTACTTTCTATGTATTAAATGACTGTGATTGTGATTTTGAACCCCCTAGTGAAGAGGTACTTCGACTCAGATCTTATTGGACAAGGATATCTAGTTTTCCTGTCGAAGATCTAAGGTTCTCTCCAGGTACTCCACCAATAAAAACTGGCCGCAAAATGGCCAATAGTGCTGAAAGTGGCATTAAACACTTACAATCAATCAACTGTATGTAATGAAAAAGATGCAGAGATTTTAACCAGATCTGTACTGTAATAGTATTATTTATGTATTTCCAGTACATCGTGACTGTACAGCTATGAGTCCAGGTCAGAGATTCATGACAGATTTATTAGTTGGTAGTTTAATGTCAGATGGTGGATTAGAATCAGCTTTGTATGCAGCCATTAGGAAAGAAGCTCAAGGAATTGAAGACAAAAAGGTATGAAGAATTACAGATAAACTTTCGCTTTTTGTTAAAATATATTTTGTTATTACTGAAAAATGAGTTTTAGAGAATACTGTTCGCTTAACCCCGTCATGGGTGGTCAAGGTCGTTAAACACCTCTGTAGGTAGTAGTTATAAGTTTTAGAAAAGGAGAAGGTCAATAAAGGGCTAATTTCGGCCTAAAATTCGAAATACATCTGATGAAAGATCTTTGACATGTTTTAAACACTACTTCAGTCGATTCAATTAGTTTATGTTAAATATTTTAACTGATTTGGCCATTAAAGACTCTCAAATTCAAGCTTAAATATGAAAAATCTGTCAAATATGCCATAAAACGTCAATTTTCAGATGGTTTTAGTTTAAAATGAAAGTGGCCGTATTTGTGTTCAGTCTCAACATTTATATATGTTATGTATTATCATCAAATACAACATATATTTAAATATTAAGACTGAACACAAATGCGGCTACTTCCATTTTAGACAAAAGCCGTCTTAAAATTAGCACAAATGCTAAAATTGTGAAGATTTCAGTATTTTTGCATGAAATAATGATGCTAGTACCTGATGCATGTTCATTGTATTGTCAAAAACAGCCCATATTCATGTAATAAAAGCATTCTACTTTCCAATGAATAGCTAAAAGTGACATTTTTAACTATTTTGTAAAAACGCTGTATTTTGGGGCCAAAAAGGGGTCTTACCGGGCCTACTCCTTTATGTGTCTTTTTGAAAAAGTTTTGATCAATTGACAATAGCTGGAAACCATGAATTTAATGTGAAATGATGTATTATTTGTTCCTTATTTGAATGGGTTGGTATAAAAGAATATTTCAAGAAGTTTCTCAATTATCAACCAATAAGGTTTCATTTCTGTGAGAGGGTGTGATAGTTGATGCACGCAAGTAAGAAATCAGATACTCCTTATTTGGCCTACATTTATATACCCCAGTAATCACATTTTCATCTTCTCTGTGACTTCAAAGCAAATATTAAACAAATTTTGTGGAAAAAATATTTGAAAAACATCTCAATTTGTTCTAATAACATGAACACATGAAACACAAAATCACCTAGCTCTTAGGAAACCTCTTCTAAGTATGTTAACACAGCCAAAAAATCCAGACTTTTCCAATTATTTTCTTCATGGGGACCTTGAAGTGGAAGTAATGGTTACAAAGCATATTTTAATTTATAAAATTAAATTGCCTCAGGTTGAGGGGACATGCATGAATTTCAAAATCAATATCACAGTTAATCTCTAAAAGTATAGATAGCCATGTTTGCATTGGAGCCCCAAACAAAAATTTGGGGTAGAGACTATAATATTATGGCCCCACACATGCTACGGGTGACAATCTTACAGAACAAGGACTGTGAGATCCTCTACAGTGATTATCTATTTGTCTCTGATCCATTTGTAATGTGTTGGCTACCACTCTGGTTAAGTGCTACAGTCTATAATCATTCTTTTCTAGAGAACATTTTGAAAAATGTTTTCTTCTTATGTTACCTTGCAGGACAGAGAAAAAGATTGTGTGAAAGATAAAGATAAAGAGAGTGACAAGAAAGCAGAGACCACTAAAGCTGATCTGTTAGAACCAAACCCTGAGAGAGACAGTGATGAAGGAGGCTCTACTATTCCATTGTTACAACTCATACAACAACTGTTAAGGTTTGTATTTAGAAATATGCTAGTTATAAGTCATTTTATTGTGTGTCTGAAGTGCTTTTCTGGATTTACCTTCATCAGAAATGGTCAAACCCAAATATTTAAAAGCCAGGGAAGTATAAATATGTAGAAATGTTTGGAGCTTTATAATCGAAGGGGACTTAAGAGAGTAAATTCAGAATTGTTTGCATGTATTTATTGATGCAGCAAATACACAAGAGGTTAATTAATATGAGAGATATCAGGGAATGCTGCATACAAATAATGCTTTCAAAATTTTGAATGCATGTTTTTAGTTTTGCAAAAACATTCATTTCACAATAGTAAAAAAAGCATAACAAAAATTTCTGAATTTACAGTACTCAAAGAATTGATTTGATAGATAAAATTCATTATTTAAAATCTATATCTTACTAATAAACCAAAGCAAATATTTTATGCAATACAGCCATTGTATAAATTGTAAATGCTTAACAAAATACCTTGCCTTTACATAAAGAAATTATAAACTGTTAAGATTTAAAATATTAAGAAATATATATATACATATATAGGTTAAAATTTGTCCAGGTATGAATGCTTAACAACAATAAATATATTATTTTCTCGGAAACATTTTTTCAGGAATTCCTCAACCCATACCTCCTCCAGATTGTACAATATCTCAGGTGACAACATTCTGAAGGTTGATGAGATGGATTTGACAGAGACCAGTCCTTCCCTAGACCTTCTCCTTCAGGTCCAAAGACTTATTGTTTCACACATTTATCCACATGAAGATTCTGCTGCTTCTGAGAAAGGTATTTGGAATTCTTGTGACTTTTATATACATTTTTCATACATTTTTGTCTCGCCTTGACGGAGTCAAAAAGCGAGAAATAGGTATGCTTTTTCCGGCGGCGACGGCGGCGGCATCAACAATGTATTAGTTTGTGATTAGGTCTAGTTCATGGTGAACCACTAGTGGTGGGTCAATGATATTTGGTATGCAGTTGTATTAGCATTGGCACATCTCATTACCATGGAGATTATTTAGCCCCGCCCCCTCAGTCATTTGCCTTTGAAACTTTTCATAGTTTACATGTATTAGTTTGTGATTAGGTCAATTTATGGGGAACCACTAGTGGTAGGTCAATGATATTTGGTATGCAGTTGTATAAGCATTGGCATATCTCATTTCCATGGAGATTATTTGGCTCTGCCCCCTTAGTCATGGTCTATAGACTTTGAAAATTTTGCTAAGTTAACATGTATTAGTTTGTGATTAGGTCAGTTCAAGGGGAACCATTAGTGGTAGGCTAATGTAAATTGGTGTTCAGTTGTATAAGCATTAGCACATCTCATTTCCATGGCGAATATTTGGCCCCGCCCCCTCAGTCATGGTCTATTTACTTTGAAACTTTTGCTTAGTTTACATGTATTAGTTTGTGATTAGATCAGTTTAAGATGAACTGCTAATGTTAAATCAATGATATTTGGTATGCAAATTTATTGGCATTTGCAAGTATCGTTTCCATGGAGATTATATAACCCCACCCCTGATCATGTTTCATTGACTTTGAAACTTTTACATAGTTTACAAGTTAATGTTTGTGTTTAGGTTTGTTTAAAGGGAACGACTTATAATAAGTCAATGGTATTTGGTATGCAGTTGTATTAGCATTGGCACATCTCATTTCATGGAGATTGTTTAGCCATGTACCTTCAGTCATGGTTCATCAACTTTGAATATTTGCATAACTTACATGTTAAAGTATTGCTATTTTAATTTCAACATTTGCATTATCAAAATTACAAAAAGGCGAGACATATCTCTGTGATAACATTTTATTATATAAGGTGTTGTCCGTCTGTATGTCTGTCCATCTGTACGTATGTCCGTACGTCCCAAAATTGGTTTCCATTCTCTAACTTTAGTTTGCCTCAACCAAATGTTATAAAACTTATGCACAATGCTTATTACCACAAAACACAGATCAAGTTTGAATTTGGGTTGCATCACTTTTACCATTCTTGAGTTATGTCCCTTTATAACATAATACGCAAGCAGGGGCATCATTTGTGTCCCATGGACACGTTCTCCATTTATTATCTTATTTTTTAACTAAAGACTTTATGTAATTTGAATATGGATAAAAGGAGACAGCATCCCATCGACAAAAGTATGCATATAAAAGGGATGGGTTGATGGTCATGAATTATTTAAAAACTCAATCACTCATAGTATAAAGTTTCTAAATTCTATAACTATTTAAGATTTAAATTGGAAAAATATAATCACCTATTGCTTAGAAACTGCATGTCTGATATTTATTCATTACAATGCATTTATTTTCAGAACTTGAGTTACAGGGAGCAGGTGTTTTATTAAGGAAGTATGTAACCTTATTGTGTAACCATGTATCAGACATCCTTCCAATAGCCGCCAGCCTAGCTACTACTGGTACAAAACATTTCTCTATTGTGTCAAAGATCATACAGAAAGATGTTACAGGTAAATACAAGTCAAGTAATATAGCTACCAGCCAAGCCACAACCCGTGCAAGACATATATTTTTATGTAAAGATCATAATATGCTCATTTTCTAGTGGTAGTGAAAAAAATTCTGCCCTTCATTTCAGTTGACCCAATTTGCAGAACATACCTATTTTAATATTACAGGTGAGTGCATTGAAATAAACTCATTGGTGTTTACCTTAGATGGTAGTCTAGATATTGCCTGTCCCAATATTTTTGTGTCATGTCACATATCATATATATAGATGATACAAGTCAACTCATCGAAGTCATAGCAAACAGCTTCACTACAACTTTTTTATTGTTTTTTGGTCATTTAAAAAATCATACAGTAAGATACTACAGTTGAGGAAAAAGTCCAGTTAAATCCACACGACCAGAGTTGTGTATCATCAATGAGTGTCTGTGGTTTTTAGTCCCCTACCGACGAAATTGAAGGGGACTTTAGGTTTGCACTCCGTCCGTCTGTCCATCTGTCTGTCCTTCTGTCAGTCCGGCAAATCAGCTTTCCACACTTTTTTACTTCGTTCTTGAAGATATTGATTTGATATTTGGTATATAGTTTTATCATGACAAGTTATAGATCAAGTTCAAATTTTTGTTTCGGTCTAATAATTTTGTGCAGAGTTATGGTCCTTGGACTTGAAAAATTCACTCATATAATCAGTTTTCCACACTTTTTTTAGTCATGCATGAAGATATTGACATGATATTTACTTTTTGTTTACACCATGGCAAGTTATATAACAAGTTAGCATTTTGTTCCAGTATAATGAATTTTTACCTGGTAGGGGACTATGTAATACTCTCAGAATGCTTGTTAAACTCTAACAACAATAATTCATCCTAAAACACCTAGATATGATATATAATATGTAAAATATTGTAATTTCATTAAAGGAATTTTACTACCAGAGATGTCTACATGCTTAGTACTACTACAACTGAGAAATCCAGCAGTGATCCAGTCATCTCAGGTTGTACCAGTCATGGAACAGTTACTGGACATTATAGATAAATTTAACAAACTTGCACCAGGACTTAACAAGGATGATAAAGAAGATTTAGCTTGGCCTGGGGTATTTAGTAAGTACAACATTCTATTTTAACTGAACTAAGATAGAGTTGCTGTAAAGTTGAAAAATATTTTCAAGGGATTTATTTTCACTAAATTCTGAATTAAGATAAAATTGTGACAATATTCCCTCATGTGTAGTTGGATAATACTGAATCAGGTACAAAGTGAAAGTAAAAATAAAACATAGGTTTGATACTTGAAATAATGAAATTTAGACCCAGCAAAAATAAACCCCTTCACAGTATGTAAAAAACAAGTTATAGATTTTCTCTACAGTTAAATTTGATCAAAGAAAATTTGCTTTGTAAGATAAAAAGAAGGAGATATAGGATAAACAACAATGAGAAAAAATTGTTTTAAATTATTTGGGAGTGGATAGTAATGTACAAATGTAGATAGTTATCATGAAGGATTTCATCATTTTTATGCCCCCGCCGTAGCGAAGGGGTCATTAAGTGTTACCCTTGTCTGTCTGTCCATCCCGTCCGTTGCGTACGCCCCCAAAATTCTCTAACTTTAGTTTGCCTCAACCAAATGTTATAAAACTTATACACAATGCGTATTACCACAAAACACAGATCAAGTTCGAAATTGGGTGGCGTCACTTATACCGTTCATGAGTTATGCCCCTTTATAAACATAAAAATTGCTGAATTTTTCGTATCTGTTCTCTAACTTTAGTTTGCCTCAACCAAATGTTATGAAACTTATACACAATGCTTATAATTACAAAACGGTCTTTACTACGTAAATCCTGCATCTGTATGTGGATGTTGACTCATGCATATTTACAAACGAGGCATCTGTGGCCCATAGACATATTCTCCATTTATTTTTTGCTAGCTTAATTTTTTAAGTCTGTTTTTTTTAAGTAGTGGTAAATATATGAAAAGTTTGTATTAAAATAAACAAAAAAAATATGGTCTTAATCTTTTATATAGGTTATTCATTAGAGAAGTACAGTCGTAAAGCATCTGAAGATGTCCAGACTATCCGCAAATCTGATTTAGAAAATCATAACAAAGATGGAGGGTTATGGGTGGTCATTCATGGAAAAGTTTATGATGTTCAGGAATTCAAAACTACAGCTAAATGTGGCAAAAGTATTCTGGAAGAGTATGCTGGTGAGTATATACGTTTGTATGCAAATTTCCACCATAACTTAGAATCAAAGAAGTTCCCGTAAAATTTTGCATCACGATTTAAAACTTTTGATGCATAATAAAAAAGTAATCGTTGCATGACGCCAGATGGTTATTCTGAGACAGATCTAGGGTCATTTGGAGCAAGTTAGCTTAATTCTCAAAAGTATAGATACATCTATTAGCATTGAATCAGTTTTATACAGTTTTGTATGTATCTGAGGCCTTTATAGGGTGGAAGTAAAAAGGGTCATATAAGACAGGTTGGCATTGTATATATGACATGATGTTAATGATAAAAGAATTCACAAATCATATTTCCATATAATTTTTGTATACCCCTGCAAATGAATTCATTTGGAAGTATATTGGAATCACCCTGTCTGTCTGTACATGTACATTGTAAGCGAACTCTAATATAGCATCATTTCAATAAACATCAGATTTTAGATACACCATATAATTAGTGTACACATGTAGAATAATCATTAATAAGTATGCTTTCAATATCATAATATAGTACCAAGATTTTCAGTATAGTTTGGATACCATGGTGAAGTATCAGGTTGAAGTCGATTTTCATTAGTCTTATCATAGTTGACAATAGCAACACATTGACTTTACCATTTCTACAAATGGGGAACTTTGTAAACACAAAATCTTGAACAGTTTACATTGGAAAGACACAAAATTAACAGAATTACTTCATACCTTGTGTAGTTTTACACCTTCTGTATTCTAAAATGTTAGATCAATATCATTTTTTGATCTAGAGTTCTACTTAGCAAATACTTTTATATATGCTGAAGTATGTAAATGCAAAGTATCCTTAAGTTTACTTTTGAATGGATTGAATTTTGACAGAATAACTGCATGACATGTGCAAATGTGCATTTTCAAGTTGGGTTTTTTTTTCAAATTAGTTTTTATACGACTGGGGGGGGGGGGGGGGGGGGGGGGGGGGTGGGGAGGATGGAGACAAAAAATTTTGCGGTCGTATATTGGTATGACGTTGGCGTTGTCGGCGTCATCGTCCGAAGACTAATTGGTTTTCACACTCTAACTTTAGTTTAAGTGAATGGATCTCTATGAAATTTTACCATAAGGTTCAATACCACAAAAGAAAGGTTGGGATTGATTTTGGGGGTAATGGTACCAACAGTTAAGGAATTAGGGGCCAAAAAATAAGCATTTTGTAACTTCCAGACATAACTTGTGTGTTAGTGTATGGATCTCTATGACATTGTACCACAAGGTTCCATATCACAAAGGGAATGCTGGGATTGATTTTGGGGGTAATTGCCTCAAAATTTTAGAAATTAAGGGGCCAAAAAAGGGGCAAAAAACAAGCATTTTTTAAGTTTCATGACAATAACTTGTGTGTAAGTGTATGGATCTTTCTGAAATTGTACTACAAGGTTCCATATCACAAAGGGGACGCTCGAAATGAGTTTGGGGGTAATTGCCCAAAACGTTTAGGAATAAGGGGCCAAAAATAAGCATTTTTCTAGTTTCCAGACAATAACTTGTGTTCAAGTGTATGGATCTCTCTGAAATTGCATTGCAAGGTACCATACTACAGAGGGAAGGCCATGATTGATTTTGGGGGTAATTGACTCAAAATTTTAGGAATTAGGAGCAAAAAAGGGGCAAAAAACAAGCATTTTTCTAGTTTCAGGACAATAACTTGTGTGTAAGTGTATGAATCTTTATGAAATTGTACTACAAGGTTCCATATCACAAAGGGAAAGCTGGGTTTGAGTTTGGGGGTAATTGCCCTAAACGTTTAGGAATTTGGGGCCAAAAAGGGGCAAAAAAAACAAGCATTTTTCTAGTTTCCAGACAATAACTTGTGTTCAAGTGCAAGGGTCCGGAAACGGTCATATTTGCCAGTCATGTCCTAAGATAAAACTATTTGTCCTAAACGAGTAATTGGGATTTAGGACAAATTTTATTTTTTTACAGAAGTAATTTCGGTCATTTCATTGACTCAATGTTTGAAATCGGATTTCGTAATCGCCATTTTGCACTTGTGATCACTTGTTTTTGTTTATAATCCCTTTCCTGTAATAAAACTGCCACTACAGTAGTTTGGTAATCCTGAGGTCCCTCCTAATATCTATATCAATGCCTCCGGGAAACATAGGCTAATGATCGCTAATCACTTTTTACCTGTGGTTTTAATTCACACCTGACAGTGATCACAAGCTCAGAATAATATCTTTAAAACATTAAAGTTCCCTGACAAGTGTATTCATTATTTATTTACTTTTCATCAAAGACAGTCATCAATTCTGATTTAAAAATTAAATCTAAATTTACGTAGAAAAAAGTATTTTTTCATGAGTAACACATGTGCTTTATTTACTAAGTAATACGCATGCGTGAATTGTCTTCAGTAAATTTAATATTTAATCGTAAAATGCAAATTGATTTCATGCTAAATTAAATGAGTGCAACTATTATCTGTTATATTCAAACACTTTTAAAGGTAATAAAATAAAAAAGCCATAAAAAGCCGGTGATTTCCTGTCAATTTGATAAACAAAACAAATCCCGGAAATGAATCCAGAATTATTTGTACTTTAAAATATCGCAAACTTCCGGTTTTAACTTTTGTCAAATCGAAAGAAACGTAAGCAATGTCTGAGAAATTAACCATTTTGAGTCATTAAAATCATTTCAATTTTAGACTGCTGCCTTCCCTTAACTGTCCTTCATGGTAATGGTAAGACATTTACTTAGTAAATGCGATGAAACAGCAATACAAGTTCGTCATGTTCGTTGATGCTATGAATAAAGTCAAATTGATATCGACAATTTGAAAAGGGGCACCACTTTTCAAACATCTCAAAATGACCGAAATTGTCTGGAAAAATTTCCGGATCCTTGTTCAAGTGTATGGATCTCTCTGAAATTGTACTGCAAGGTACCATACCACAAAGGGAAGGCTGGGATTGAGTTTGGGGGTGATGAATCATAAGGGGGTTCAAAACATTTGGGGGGGGGGGGGATTTGTTTTCCTTTTTTTCCTTTTTTTCTCTTTAAAATTTTCCATTTTAAATTGGTTATTTCTGATTTATATATAAAAGCAAATAATAATGATATGGTTTGAATAGGTAAATTTAAAATTTTTAAGTTCTTAGACCACATTCATTCTGTGTCAGAAACCTATGCTGTGTCAAATATTTAATCACAATCCAAATTCAGAGCTGTATCAAGCTTGAATGTTGTATCCATACTTGCCCCAACTGTTCAGGGTTCGATCTCTTCTGTCGTATCAAGCTGTGCCCAGCGGAGCATTTTTTTTTTTTTTTTTTTTAGATATAATGCTTTGTAAGTTAAACAGGAAAAATGAAGATTGAAGACATTTATGTGTTTGAAAAAAAACATCTAATTCATTTTTATACGACCGCAAAAAAATTTTTGTGGTCGTATATTGGTATGACGTTGGCGTCGTCGTCGTCGTCCGGCGTCGTCGTCGTCCGGCGTCGTCGTCCGAATACGCATTAGTTTTCGCACTCTAACTTTAGTTTAAGTGAATGGATCTCTATGAAATTTTACCATAAGGTTCAATACCACAAAAGGAAGGTGGGGATTGATTTTGGGGGTTATGGTACCAACAGTTAAGGAATTAGGGGCCAAAAAGGGGCCAAAAATAAGCATTTTCTAGTTTCCAGACAATAACTGTGGAAAGGTGTATGGATCTCTCTGAAATTATACTACAAGTTTCCATATCACAAAGGGATGGTTAGGATTTGCTTTGGGGGGTTATGGCTCAAACCGTTTAAGAATTAGGGGCAAAAAAGGGGGAAAAACAAGGTTGTCCTGGTTAATGGACAAATACTTTAGTACAAAACATAATTTAAAGCAGTGTAAGGGAGATAAATCAAATACATCATTGAAATTATCTCCCTTACACTGCTTTTAAATTATGTATAAAGTAATGGTTAATGAACAATTAAGATAATTTAAAACAGTGTAAGGGAGGTAATCCAAATACAACATTTTGGTTACTTCCCTTACACTGCTTTTAAATTGTGTTTAAAGAAATGCATATTTATAAAGGAAGACCAGTAAAAATATCTGCAAATGTTGCATCTTTTTTTTTACAACAAAATCCATATGAAAGATTTGACACTATATTTTAAATTCTATTATAAAATAGATTAAGTTAGCACTATGGTAAATTTAAATGGGTAATTATGGTTGCAAACTCCATTGGAAATTTGAATTGAGATTATGACCATATCTTGAGGGAAAGAATTTTTTGGGGGAAAAAAGGGGGGGGGGGGGTTTAAAGAAATTGTGGGGGGTCAATTTTTTCTCATTTCAGATTTCAGAAATTAAAAAGAATCATTCTTCAAATATTATTTTTTTTTCAAATTTCAAATATTGAAAAATTTCAAGAAGTAATCTTTAATTGGACAGTATGGCGCATTATATTTGTAAAATCTTTGACCACATTTATTTATTTGTTATGCCGAATCTAACCATGTATTTAGATTTTTAATTTTGGGTCCAGTTTTCAAATTGGTCTACATTAAGGTCCAAAGGGTCCAAAATTAAACTTTGTTTGATTTTAACAAAAATTGAATATATGGGGTTCTTTGATATGCTGAATCTAAACATGTATTTAGATTTTTGATTTTTGGCCCAGTTTTCAAGTTGGTCCAAATTGGGGTCCAAAATTAAACTTTGTTTGATTTCAACAAAAATTGAATATATGGGGTTCTTTGATATGCTGAATCTAACCATGTATTTAGATTTTTTATTTGTGGCCCAGTTTTCAAGTTGGTCCAAATTGGGGTCCAAAATTAATCTTTGTTTGATTTCAACAAAAATTGAATATATGGGGTTCTTTGATATGCTGAATCTAACCATGTATTTAGATTTTTTATTTGTGGCCCAGTTTTCAAGTTGGTCCAAATTTGGGTCCAAAATTAAACTTTGTTTGATTTCAACAAAAATTGAATATATGGGGTTCTTTGATATGCTGAATCTAACCATGTATTTAGATTTTTTATTTGTGGACCCTGCTATCAAATTGGTTCATATTGAGGTCAAAAGGGTCCAAAATTAAACTTTGTTTGATTTCAACAAAAATTGAATATATGGGGTTCTTTGATATGCTGAATCTAACCATGTATTTAGATTTTTGATTTTTGGGCCCCGTTATCAACTTTGTCCACATTGAGGTCAAAAGGGTCCAAAATTAAACTTAGTTTGATTCTAACAAAAATTGAATTCTTGGGGTTCTTTGATATGCTGAATCTAAACATGTGTTTAGATTTTTGATAATGGGCCCAGTTTTCAAGTTGGTCAAAGTTGGGGTCAAAATTAAACTTTGTTTGATTTCAACAAAAATTGAATATATGGGGTTCTTTGATATGCTGAATCTAACCATGTATTTAGATTTTTTATTTGTGGACCCAGCTATCAAATTGGTTCATATTGAGTTCAAAAGGGTCCAAAATTAAACTTTGTTTGATTTCAACAAAAATTGAATATATGGGGTTCTTTGATATGCTGAATCTAACCATGTATTTAGATTTTTGATTTTTGGGCCCCGTTATCAACTTTGTCCACATTGAGGTCAAAAGGGTCCAAAATTAAACTTAGTTTGATTCTAACAAAAATTGAATTCTTGGGGTTCTTTGATATGCTGAATCTAACCATGTATTCAGATTTTTTATTTGTGGCCCAGTTTTCAAGTTGGTCCAAATTGGGGTCCAAAATTAAACTTTGTTTGATTTCAACAAAAATTGAATATATGGGGTTCTTTGATATGCTGAATCTAACCATGTATTTAGATTTTTGATTTTTGGGATTTTTGGGCCCCGTTATCAACTTTGTCCACATTGAGGTCAAAAGGGTCCAAAATTAAACTTAGTTTGATTTTAACAAAAATTGAATTCTTGGGGTTCTTTGATATGCTGAATCTAAACATGTATTTAGATTTTTGATTTTTGGCCCAGTTTTCAAGTTGGTCCAAATTGGGGTCCAAAATTAAACTTTGTTTGATTTCAACAAAAATTGAATATATGGGGTTCTTTGATATGCTGAATCTTACCATGTATTTAGATTTTTTATTTGTTGGCCCGCTATCAAATTGGTTCATATTGAGTTCAAAAGGGTCCAAAATTAAACTTTGTTTGATTTCATCAAAAATTGAATTATTGGGGTTCTTTGATATGCCAAATCTAACCGTGATTTTAGATTTTTAATTTTGGGTCCCATTTTTAAATTGGTCTACATTAAGGTCCAAAGGGTCCAAAATTAATCTTAGTTTGATTTTAACAAAAATTGAATTCTTGGGGTACTTTGATATGCTGAATCTAAACATGTGTTTAGATTTTTGATTATGGGACCAGTTTTCAAGTTTGTCCAAGTTGGGGTCCAAAATTAAACTTAGTTTGATTTCAACAAAAATTGAATTCTTGGGGTACTTTGATATGCTGAATCTAAACATGTATTTTGATTTTGGACATTGGACCATAATAGGTAAATTAAAAAAATTGAAGTTCTTAGACCACATTCTTTCTGTGTCAGAAACCTATGCTGTGTCAAATATTTAATCACAATCCAAATTCAGAGCTGTATCAAGCTTGAATGTTGTGTCCATACTTGCCCCAACTGTTCAGGGTTCGACCTCTGCGGTCGTATCAAGCTGCGCCCAGCGAAGCATTTTATTTATTATAAAAAAGATGTCTGATATTTGATACAAAAACTTATTTCTCAATAAAATTTTCTGACCTCACTTTACAGGGAGAGATGCTACAATGGCTTTTGAGAACTATTACCATTCATCTGAGGCCAGAGAGATGATGCAGTCATATTATGTGGGACAGTATCTAGATGTAAGTTAATCTCAACTGCTAAGGCTTTCCTGTAATTAATAAAATAAAAACTTGTGTAATAATATACTATAACTTAAAATCTTTAAACAACTTTCAGCCAAAATTATTTAAATAACAATAGATTTGAATTTTTGGAGAAGCTGTTTTTTTTTAGGTTGACATATTTTAATATTACTAATACTGTGGATTCATTATTAATGGACTATTTTCATTTTACCGACTTTTGACTCCATAGTTTATATATTTTCGACAGGTTACCTTCTCTGTGGTAGGACATTCTGGTACTCGGTCAAGTAAGACCTAGCTAAAGAAGTAAAATCAAGCTTATGATCGGTATAATTTAGGGGGAAAATTAACTGTTTTATGTTTTCTATACACGACTAAATCTTCAGAAAACAGTAAACTTTACCCGCAAATCGCACCGATTATACATTTGATTTTACCTCTTTTGATTGCTCCTACCTGACCGACTACCAGAATGTCCTACCACAAAGTAGGTAACCTGTCGAAAAATTATAAAATCCAGTCAAAAGTTGGTAATATATAAATAGTCTATTGTGGGGTTCTAATTTTACTCGATTTCGCAAGTATAAGTGAACCACTAATTAAGTATTTTAACAAAATACAAATTTTGTATAAGATTGTATACAGAATTTCTCATAACCATGAAGTTAAGTATGCATGAAAATACATGAAATACAATTTTTCATTAATCCACAAAAATTGGTACCCATGAAAAATGATAAATCCACGGTCTAATAATAATGTTAATCCTCTTCTTAAATTGAAATATGATTTATTTACTATTTAACAGCCTGAGAAAGATACTGTACAATCAACTGACAGAAACACAGCATCATCTCCACTAATGGATGTTGAACGTACCCTAGGCATGCTGTTAGGCTTACATGCCTCCTATCAGGCTAGGAGCACCCCTCTCTCACAGGAGGAACATGAGCATGACCATTGGCTTAAGGCAGAATTCTTTGCTGGAGGGCTGAAGGTTTTGCAGCCTAATAATCAGTTTGAGGAAGAGAAAGGAGAAACAAGGAGTTGTTCAACTACACCAGGTCAGATCTTTTTCTCCCTGGCATTGCCAGCAAAATAGGACATAAGCTTATCAAAACTTTTTTTACTTAGTGTATGTTAGCTTGCACCAAAGTTAATTTATCAGGAAACCTGTATAGTATACCGGTAATCTTTTAGAAGGACACAAAGTTACTTATCTAACAAATTTATAACTCACAAATTAATAAAAAATAAAAAAACGTAGATCTATCTTTTCTTAATTACAGTAACAAAATAATTATTATAATGGTGGTTTTTTGGTGGAAGAAGACTTCATGTCTTCTGAAAGCCTTTACTGCCGGCTGTAAAATCATTGAACCATCACCAGGACGTATGCCGTATCCCTTTCTGTGCTTTACAATTTGATAACAACTTCCGTGCCATATCTTGACATCGATGTTTACACATGATCTAAGCATCTGCATCATTTAATTTATTAGTTAGGCTTGAAAAACAATCACTATCGTTAGTGTTATAATTTCTCATGTTTTAATGTATTAATATCAACCCTTTTATTTATGTAAATTATTAGATTTCATCTCATCTTACATGAACGTTATTTGTTTACTTGTAACCGGATGTCTTTAAAGTAGAGTTTGTAGTACGCATGCGTGAATTTGGAATGGGGTCGGTTCGCCTTGATTACATGATCGCCCTTGGTCCGTTCGCCCTGAGTTCGTCCCCATATAGTACGTTCACCCTAGGTTACTTCTCCTTACTTTTATCGTGGAAGTATTATATTGACTGCTTTTATCAAGGACGTTTTATACGTCCTTGCAATTATTAAAAAATAATAATATTATGGGTATTAAAGTTTAATAAACTTATTCAGATATTTTTATGGTATAAATTCTCGAAATTCATGAACACACATGAAAAAAAAATTAATTAAAAGTTGATGGCTTGTTTTGGAACATTAATAGGTCATGATAATAATTTTCACTGATTGTTGTAATAATTGTCTTTGGTAGATTAATAATTGGAATTATCGGAAAAAAACAACTGGATTATTCCGGTTAATTTAAACCACGTTGGTTACGTATCTGCGCATCTGCACAAATGGGAAATTTTAATTGTGCATCTGAAAGTTTCAAAATAATGATAAACAGAATTGTCATATATTCATACAATCCATCTTGAGTTAAAGCCAAGTATATACATGGAGAGTACGACTTCAAATCAATGATGCTTGAAAAAATACACAGATTTAATTGTTCCGTCTGTGTTCAGATCTTTAATGCAATCAATTAAGTCATATTCCAGTTTTAGACAACATGTGTTTTTTAAAACGAAAGTTAGAATATCTAAGTATGTTATTGCGATAATAAAGAGTCAAGCGCACACATGAATCTGCTGGTGTTTTACACATCAAACGATGCACCGTCCGTTGACAGAAATATCAATGTACAAATTAATGTCTGTTGACGGATTCCATTTCGAAAGTACGTAGTTTTCATGTCGGTCATTGTTGGAATGTCCCCAATGATTGCCTTTATTGCCTTAATAAGTTTCAAAGTTTTAGAAGTGATAAAAAACGGGATTTAACAACTGAATAGTCCAGCTCTTTACCGTTATTCGTCATTAAGGTACACACAAAAATGACACATTATCAAGGCTCGAGTATGGAACCAGTAATTCGTTGCTGTCAATAGTTTTATTTTCATGAAAAATTTCAGAAAAGGGCTGTGTGACTCCTGACGGAAAATGCCATTCCTATCCTCATACTTTTGTGTAAAAGTATTAGATGAAAAACAAATATGATATATGGGTCAAGCACTTTAAATGAACGGGTTTGAAATGCTAAAAGAGTCAAGCGCACACGTGATTCTGTAAACTGACGGTGCATTGATGTGTAAAACACCAGCAGATTCACGTGTGCGCTTGACTCTTAATTATCGCAATAACATAGCAAGGTCATCACCTGACATGACCGGTCAATCCTTGGCCTGACACATATCTGCATTGGATATATTTAGAATTTTTCAATATATGTTTATAATGAAAAAACCCTAATTTAAGCAAACTTGACTAATATCTTGGTGGCCAGTTTTTTTTTAAAGTTAACTATCTGCCTTTGACAGAAAACTTTCAAGTGAAACCAAATCAATTACTGTTATAATTGCTTGGCGAAATTGCATTGCATCAAGTTGACCATGCTGAGACGAATGTATGGAATTTAGTTATAGAAAATTTAATTTGAATCAACAGTATTTGCAGATTTTTATGTTAAGTATAGTGAGTTTTGGTTGAGTTATGAGTATTATTATTTTTGGAAGAAAAAAATACGTCGAAAGCAATAATGGGACAAAGCAGGCTGGGTTGGTGTGGGCTGCTTTTATGGTAATTCAAGTTACCTTTTATGCATCTTCTTCCACCTCAGAGCAATCAGCTCTTTGATTATAGGAATAAAATTTGAAAGATAGGCAATGGATTCAACCACTATAGCTGCGAAAGGTTAAACATTCAAAGCTTAAAATACAGAGCAATGAAATATCAAAGACAGAAATTTGCTGCCTAATATTTAAGTCTAAAAGACAGTTAAATGGAGCTTCCATTTTTACATCAAGTTTTGTTTTTTTAGATAATTAGAAATTAGAATAAAGGTGAACTTGTTGATTTTACAACTAATAAATATACATATAAATATTGTAGCTCCTCGTGTTATTTTTCTGGTAACATTAATTAATTCATATCAAACTTGAGGATGTAGCCTTATTGATGTAAACTTTAAATCTCCTTTTATTCATGTGAAAGACTCCAACTGGGGAAAAACCCCAAATTTGAGTAAATACAACTTGAAAATGCCTTCTATGAATACCATTGGAAGAATTTATATGTATTTAAAAATAGGTACTACTCCTACATCTGAACAGCGACATATACCAACATCAGAAGATAAGGAATCGTTTGATCCTCTGAGTACACAGACTGACATAACACAGCCATTCCTACAGTCATTGGTCGAGGGCAGAATTACAGACCATAATGTTAAAACATTCCTAGCTATAATGGAGAAATATTGTAAACACCATAACTTACTCAATATACATTTTAGTCATGAACATCCTATAGAAGAAGTAGGAAGGTAAGCCTCAATAAATGTGGTTAGAGAAGTTCAAAGGGAAATTGCTGTTGTTGTATTTTTTTATTTTAGTTTTTTATGAATATCGGTACATTTGTTGGATCAAATAAAACTACATTGAAAATTGTTAAGGTACTCTGCCTCATTAACATTAGTAAATAACATATAAATGCAGATGTTAGTAATTGCTAGTAATATACACATAAACTGAAATTTGTAGATATTATATATAACATGACTGATATAACAATTTGAATGTTCATAGATAGATGAATTACCAGACATAATTATACTTATAGTTGAGGAACAAACATACAGACACTCTAAAATATGTCTTTTTTAAAAGGATGTTTGCTACTGAAAGTTTAAGTAACAGCTTTTCATAAATGTAGAATTTTTAATAAAAATTTACAATAGATCAGAATTGAAAAAATATAGATATGATGGTATTTATTATATACTTAGAAGTAAATACAGATAAATTGTATGTGTAATACAATCATTGGCAATTGTGCTGTATCAGCCATCCGTGATGATATCGATATCAGCACGGTTGCAAAGGCTTTATCACACCTTTAATCTGTATAACGTCACGTCATCGATTGCAGTCACTGTTGCAAAGGCTTTATCAAACCCATAATCTGTATGACGTCATGCCAAACCTATAATCTGTATGACGTCATTTCAAACCTCCTTACCTGTATGACATCATGTCAAATAAAAAACATCTACGTGAGGTATATGTATATAATAAAGTGTATATGATATGGCTTTTTCAATATCACACACCCTATCAACCCTCAACCAATATAATCCCTCGAGCAGAGCTCTTGGGATTATATACACCTTATCGCTATTCCCGCTTGACCCGAGAATCTGTCCCGCTTGAACTTTTGACGTCATACAACAATCACTTTTCCATTGTGGCGTCAGATATTTTCTATTATGACGTCAAAATTTTACGGGAACTTTTTTGGTGTCCAGTAATGGCGGACAAATAGCGATAAGGTGTATTGGTGTCTCGGGTTGATACAGGTGTGATATTGAAAAAGCCATATGATATTCTCTATTTATCACACTACATTGTGTTTGACCATAATATGTAAACAATATGAAAATATGTAGATGTGGTATGATTGCCACTAAGACAACTATCCATAATGTTCAAGGACAAAGAGGTGAATAATTACAGGTCATTGTACAGTCTTCAACAATGAGCAATACCCATACCATAAATTTATTTCATACTAGACAACCCATAAGTAAGAAAAATATTATCATTTGATCACATGGATAAAAACAATTTTAGAGTTTCTACAAAATAAGTTTTTTATTTATTTAAGGTTATTACTAGCAGTTTTATTAAAGCATGATGATTTGGGACATGCAGCCCTGAGTTTGGTGGAGTATGGACAGACAGAGAGAGATAAACATCTGCCTAGATCTCTTGTAGAACTCTTCAAAATTGTAAATCAGACCAAAAAAACTCTTGTCAAGGTATTTATTAGATAAGAATTTTCATGTGATACTTTCAATTACAATGTAAGTAAGTACAATTTTCCACTGTAACTGATGTAAAAATAAGCATCTACTCTATTATATATTATCTTCAGTTTAAGTTTACCTGAAACAGAGGGATATATATATATATGAAAAAAAGAAATTGGCATAAAGCAGTTGCATTGATTGATTTTTGGTTGCTTAATGTCCAGTGGCAAATTTTTCATACATGTTCAGAACGATAAAGCAGTTTGATAGAAACTAAATGTTATAATATTTTTGAGGTCATGTAATTTCTAAAATGCATGATAAAAAGAGGTGCAAATTTTGACACTAAAATATATATTTTAGAACTCCAGATCTAGATTAATAGCATCTATGAAGTTATATTCAAATGTACAGTGGACATAAAATAACATAAAAACTGTTGAACACTGTTAACCTCTTTTATTTTCTATGTATTTACCAGTAGTCATAAAAAAGAAATTAAAAGAAGATTTTTAATTCAGTATTATGATTGACTTTCCATTTTAGGCTCATCAAGATCAAGGAAGATCTTACAAAGAAGTGTGTGCACCTGTAATAGAAAGATGTCACTTCCTGTTTAATGAACTTCGACCTGCTGCAGGGAATGAAGTTCATGCAATGAGTAGGTCAAAAATGCTGAGAAGTCATCCACGATGGAAACAAGTTACCATGAAGATGATGGATGAAAGGATTAAATCTAAACGTAAGACAGTGTATACAGATATAGGGGAGAGTTGAGATCTCACAAAACATGTTTAACCCCGCTGCATTTTTTCCCCTGTCCTAAGTTGGGAGCCTCTGGCCTTTGTTAGTCTTGTATGTTTTTTAATTTTAGGATATTTATATGTTTTGGAGTTTAGTGTGACGTCCATTTTCATTGAACTAGTAGTACACATTTTTGTTTATGGGTCAGCTGAAGCCCACCTCTGGGATGCGGGATTTTCTCACTGTGTTGAAGACCCATTGGTGGCCTTCGGCTGTTTTCTGCTCTTTGGTCAGGTTGTTGTCTCTTTGACACATTCCCCATTTCCATTCTTAATTTTACATACTACGGAATCATTTATTTTTCGTGGATTGAGGAAAACAGGTATTTTCCTGGATTTGCCAAAGTCTGTATGGAAGCCTTAGGAAAATGTGTGCTTTGTTGAACTTTTAGATTCCTGGTTTAACTGTACCCAGGAAATCCTGGTAAATTGGTATCCCACAAATGATAATAAATCCACTACATCAATTTTTCTCAGAAATATTGATGATAAGTAGTGAGGTACAAACTTTTACTTCATGTTTAAGTTATGGTGGTGCAGGATGTATTTTAAAGTCACAGCCACTTCCTTCAGAATGGGGATGTCAAATCTTATGACTTGTATCAAGAGATAACTTCTCTCTCTGAATGATAGAAAATAATTGTAAAAAGAGGTATGCATTGGTGGCATGTTGCAATGCACATTTCTGCCTGTATCCAACATATCTCTTTTTCAAGTAGAGAACCAAATCCCACTTTGTCCTGAATGGAATCGCTTTATTATTTACAATATTTTAAAAATATTTATATAGCGCATTATCTAATTAAAACTACTATAAGCGCTTAACATAGAAACAATCAATGTGGTTAAAAGAGGTGTTTAACATTAAAACCATCAATACAAAAGGGATGAATTAAAATCTGAACCTACCAATTATCATTTACAGTTTTGCATGTAGTTAAATATAGGAATGTATATAAAATCAGGAAAGTAATTTTGATGAGTAATTGGGTATGCCATTCAAAATAGCAATAAATTACAAGTTTATGGAAGGTCATACTAGTGCATTTTTTTGTAATTCACTGACACAAGTACTATTATTTACCAAACAAATATAAAATCATGCAACTTAAATTTTCATTTTTTATTTTATATATTAGGCCTTTCTCATGTAGAAGAAGAGGAAGAAAAGAAAGAAAGTGATGAGGATTTAGAGGGAGCCACTGGAATAAGTGAAGAGGTCAAGGCTGAACAAATTGTATTAGAGATCAAAGAAGAGGAAGACCATGAAGTCTCAAGTACAACAGAACCAGCAGAGGAAGCTGTTTTTACAGTGGAACCTGTACTGAAAGAGGAATCAGCAACACCAGAGAAAAAATCTGTCCAGTCAGATGAAGTTTCTTCATCACGAGAAAAGTCAGAAATGAAGAAGGTTATTTACTTAACATTGTTATATCAACTTACAAAAACTTAAGGGAGAACCATTCATAATTCAAGCTACATATAGATTTAAAGTTATAGTCTTAAGAAATCTAAATAAGCAGTGGTTAAATGCCCTTTTCAAGAGATCCTTGACTTAAATACAGACATAACTAATTATTTTAAAAAATAATCGAAAAAAAAGGAAGACATTGGGCTTGTATGTAAAAAGTTGAAATTTTAGGTGTGTTTTTTTATCAATTGCACACACACACACTGTGACTATCTGTTAATTAACCAGATTTTCTTCAATTTTAATTTTTAGGTTGATTCCTGGAAACAAATAGCTAAAACAGTATCAAGTTCTCGTAAATTTGGTTTGTTGAAGCAGAGAATGACAGGATCTAAAATAGACCAAGGATTGGTGAACGGTATTGTTGAGTTTGTATTACATGAACATCCTATAGATATAGAGAAACTCAGGAGATCATTACATCACCAGGTAATGTGGATATTATTTTAATGTATGATGATGTGAAAATGTGATTATAAAGGCATACAAATATTTTTTTTTTATTTTTTTTAAACTGGAAATTGGTATGCATTGCATTTGGTATTATGTTTTCAAATGTAAATGTAAGTAAAATAAATATGTGTGTCAACAGCTGAGATGAAAACCTATTTTATTAAAATAAAAAACCTAAAATGTCATAAATAAGATGTATAAACTATCAATATTAAACAGAATGTACACACTTGTCAGTACTCATACTAAGAATGACATACAAAAATACTAATTTATATAAGAAATCCAGCATTTGTTGTCATGATAGACACTGATGTGTACACACTCTCTTACATAAGATATGCAATATAAATCAACTGTTTGATGCCAAGTGTAATGAAGAAAAGTCATATAAATTGTTATTTAATTTTTTGGACACTTCTGCTTTGATAAGGAATAAGATATGATTTGAAGGATTTTACACCAGTTTAAATCATTTTCACTACCTTAATAGATAAATTATATTTAGTTATATCAAAAATACAGTGAAATTCCATGATAAATATTTTGTTTAAAGGTTGATAGAGCTCAATTGAGACTAAAAGGAATCCAGAATATGTTAAGTTTAGTCAGCAAAGATTACCTGATTCCCTCTACCAAATACAACATCCTGTCTGGTTGGCTTGGATTGTTGACTGTTGGTACAAGAGCTAGGTAAGTGCAGTTCTATTAGGTTGGCATGGCACTTTATATATCATGTGAGTGATCCTATCTCACAGGAACCTCTAGTTATTGCAAAGGAAATAAAACCTTCTGTATGAATCAGTTGGAATTTACCTGGAAATTTAAATTTTTGCAAAGAGTACTGTCCCATTCTATAGATACAATAGCTATTGTTCTGTGTGGAATTCATTCAAAGGGAACTTTCAATTTCTCCTTCAAAAAAAATAATCATTCATTGATTAATGTAGCTGTACGAAAAATGAACGAGGGATTAAAATATTGTCAGACCAAGAGATAATCACTTATAATACACATTTATAGTCAAAAAGTACATATATGAGAAGTATTTTACACAACCCCATGTTTCAAAATCATGAAGTTTCTCCACAATAGATATGAATAAAAAAAAAATTGTTCCTTTTTACCGAAATACTTTTTGCGTTATATAGATGATGCCCACTACTTAACTTATGTCATACACATGAGTTACTGTGTATCTATATCCATCTTATACTGTCCCCTGATAGAAACCTATAAAGGATGTTTACTGTACATTATATCACAGTCAGTTATGGTTAGCTTACATCAGTTTTAAACATTTAACAGTGTGACGGAATCCTAGAGATAATGTTTTCTGACCTCTACTTTATATTTCAGTACATTAATTCCCCACTGCCTGGCTAATGTCAGCCTGATACCTCCATGTGACAGAATCCTTCTGGAGATGCAGTTTTCTGACCTCTATAAGTGGGCCATTCAGGAACTGAGAAGTTTTATCATCCAGTCTGACATGATGTTCAAAGAAAGAGGAATTAATCCAACTGTCTCCATCCAAGACTCTCAAAAGGTATTTTGGTATAAAAAATGGATAGATATTATTAAGTTTATATCAAAAGGAGGATTCAAATTAGATGAAAACAAATTTAAAGTAGAAATGACTGAAACAGATGTTTTAAAAGGGAAATCAGAAATTGGAATTCAGATAACAAAACAAGGCAAATTGAGGCAAGAAGAAAATTTATCTTACTAATTTTGTATATTTGGCTATATTTTCAGGAAAGATTAAGTTTAGGAGCTTTACCCCATTCTAGATTTTTGCTGGCCACAATGGGAATTTTAATGTCAGTACACCAGAGTAACATGGTCAGTTTGTTGTTAAATTCTGGAGTATTAGGATTGACACAAACATTAATGAGACTTGTAGGTAAGTAGCATATACAAAATATGAAGATGTGGTATGATTGCCAATGAGACAACTATAATTTTTAACCACGATGTTGTTTGCATATCAACTTGAAACTTAGTGCACATGTTCATTATGATGTGAACTTTTAAAAAGATATGCCAAATTATGGTTTTGACCTAGATTTTGTAGTTCACTGAACATGGAAATGTTATGACCTAGATTTTGTAGTTCACTGAACATGGAAATGTTATAGTGTGAGAGAAGCATACCATCCTGCAGACACATATTCTTGTTTTTGATTTTTGATTATTTTGGAAAACTGTATACAAAATGTATACATTTCTAGATTTACTTGAGGTAAAATATTTTATATATCCTTTCATTTTATTTCTTTTGCTGCACTACAGACAATACAGTTTCAGGGAAGGAACAAATATTTGCAAATATGATGTAACAAATTTTATGAGAATATGTAAAATCAAGAAGTGCAGGAATCCCAATACTGAGAAAAGATTTATTGAGAAATTGTTCTGTTATTAGCTGCTTTATAATTTAAAGTTCTTACTATTCAATCATGTTTCCCTTTCTGTAACTTGTTTGTCTGGCTATATTCATATGTTTGTCTTCCAAACCTCTACCCTTCTCTTCCATAACTTGTTTTGGTTTGATAGTAGGTTGAAAGCATATCTTACATTTCAAATATTATCAACTTGCTAATCCTGTCACGAAATAGAAGTTCCTTTATAATATAAGTTCTAAGTGGAAAAAATATTCTGTAATATTATTTCCACTGAAACAAATATTACAGTATTTGTTCCTTACAGAATAAAGGTTATAGAATATTTGTTCCAACAGAAACAGATATTATGGCATAGTTTATAACAAAGTTTCCAGTGGAACAAGGTAATTGTTTGGGTTGTATATACAATGAGCCATATCTCTTTACATGGACAACACATATTCTTAGACTGTTTTTGTATATAAGCTGTACATTGCCTTATTAAACATCATGGAAAAGTTTTTGTAAATTAAGAAATTTTTGCAATGTTTTTAAATGAAATTGTGACTTGATAAGTATTGCATAAATAAAAACTTGCATTTCAAATTATTTATACATAGCATTTCCTGAATTCGCAATAATTTTGCTTGCATTTTCGTTGATTGTCCAACAATAGCAAAGATAAATGCACACATTAATTTCTGAATTCACAGTAGTTAAATTTTAACCTATTTTCTCTATTTATTCAGTCTTTTAAAGAAGAATTTAAGCATGCAGGATAGAAACAACTTCTGTACATTGACTTCATCATCAATTATATTTTGTAATGAAACACACAACTTGTAGAAATGCTTTGCAAGACTGATGTTTCTAACTGTTTCTCTAGCCTCATACAAAAATAAAACATTCTATAGTTGTATAGGTATTGTCTATATGTTTTGTAAAGTCCTTAATTAAACACAATCCTATTTTAGGACCAGATCCCGATAAACCTATCCAGGACAACAATGGAACTTTACATGCAATATTAGAGGAACAGAAACACAAGAAACAGTCCCAGCCAGTACCTATTTCAGGACCAGAGTTAGCAGCTATGATGAAAATTGGCACTAGAGTTGTTAGAGGTGTAGACTGGAAGTGGGGAGATCAGGTATGTTAGACCTATTTTGTATATCAGTTGGTAATCATGTGGAGATTTTCTGTGAGTGATGGTCAGAGCAGCTGTTGGGGGAAATGGATAGATTAGACGACTATATATCATTTCATTGTCGAGCCTGTAACTTCTGTCGCAGAAAGCACGACATAGGGATAGTGATCCGGCGGCGTCTGTATTAACTTACTACTTAAAAACTTTATATTTTAGAAGGTGGAAGACCTGGATGCTTCATACTTTGTATATAGATGCCTTATGTTATGAAGTTACCGTCTGTCATATGTCCATTGTCCTTGACCTCATTTTCATGGTTCATTGGTCAATGTTAAGTTTCCATGGTTGGGTTTGTTTCTTGGATACTATAAGCAATAGGTCAACTATATTTAATGCATAGATTGATTGTAAGGTGTACATGTCTGTCTGGCATGGTTCATCTGACCTTGACCTCATTTTCATGATTCATTGGTCAATGTTAAGTTTTCATAGTTAAGTTTGTTTCTTAGAAACTATAAGCAATAGGTCAACTATATTTGTTGTATGGAATGATTGTAAGGCATACATGTATTTCCGGTTTGGTTTATCTGACCTTGACCTCAATTTCTTGGATCATGTTAAGTTTATGTGATACTTGTAGTAAAGCTTTATATTTAGGACTAGCAACAAACATAAAATCATTGGTCAGTAAAGCAGGCAAGACATTTCAGCGTGTTCACTCTTGTGAGATAAGTAAGTGCAGTGAAAAAATGAAACAAATTACTAACTGATGAAACTTCATTTATATTGCATTCATGTTAATTAAATGAAATGAAATTGTGTCACTAAAGCTTTTTATTAAAAGCATGATTTTCTTTGCTAAAATTAAGTAAAAATTTTGTGTGTGTTTTTTTTAAAGAACAATGAGGTAGACAGAAAATCCTCTAATTTCCATTCTTATACCTTTTAAATAGATAGATGCAATGTAAAATATTTTTAGGATGGTCCAGCCCCCAGTATGGGACGTGTGATCGGTGAGTTAGGAGAAGATGGTTGGATCCGTATCCAGTGGGATACTGGTAGTACAAATAGTTATAGGATGGGAAAGGAAGGAAAATATGACCTGAAATTAGCTGAACCCCCAGAAATGCCAGATAATGATGAAGAAGATGATGATGATTTGGAAACTGGTAAATATGATAATGAAAACTCTTTTATGTTTGTTATAAATAAAAGCAAGTGTATTTCTCAATGAGACAGCACCCCAACAATACAAGAAACCATTAAAGACGTGTTGATTTGGCATCTCTTTGCTTCATTACTCCAAAATCATAAGAATTTTACAGTGGCAAGGATAGTCCATGTTTATGTTGTCATGATTAATGGAATGGTTTTGAAGTTTGGATAGTTATTGGTATAAATTGTTTTAACAAAAACCAACATTTGAATGCAAAGAATGAAATTAAATTCTTTCTTTGCATATTATGTAAATGTTTTGGGAAAATTTTGCATAGTTTGACTTACACTGGCTTACTTCTGGAAAAAATTTGAAATATAAAATTTTATATCATTTGGTAAATATATCTCTACTTGGTAAAGAGACACTCAAAACATATTGTTATTTTTTCCAGAAAAATCCCGACCACTAAGTAGACATCCAACATCACAGATCAGAAGGTCCACTGTAAATCTATTGAGAACTTTATGTATTTGTTGTGCTATGAATGCTGAATGCATGCAGAGATCTGCTGTAGGAACTCTTTGTGGACTTCTACAGAGAGTGATAGATGCTGGCTGTAATCAGGGTCCAAGTAAGTTAAATAGGAGAAATGCTGGGCTTTGTGAATTGGATGAAAAATAAAAAGCAAGAATATTTTCTCATGTAGTATTCTTTTTTCCATTTTTTGAAACTCCACAAACCTGTATGTATCTGTTTAAGGAAGATATTATTAGAAGCATACATATTAACCTCTATGAACTATGTACATGTAAAACAAAGATTTTATTGGAAGCATACATGTTAACCTCTTTGAACTGTATGTACACAAATGTATATGTAAAAAGAAGATTTCACTGGAAACATACATATTAACCTCTATGAACTGTTTGTAAATGAAAAAGGAAGATTTCATTGGATGCATAGATGTTAAAACCTCTATGAACTGCTTAATGGAGTAGATCTTTACCATCTCTTAGATCTCCTCTTCATTATTCCATAAGAGGGACATTTTTCAGATCATACAATGCAAATATTAATTCGATTAATTATTATTTTATAGATTCCAATGTACATGTAGCTTTTGAACAACACTTCACTTGGTGCACACTGGGATTCATTCGGTCCATTGCTACTGGGCCTGTCATTTGTAAAGCACTTAGTTCACCCAGATGGATTGATCTTCTTCTTAAAGTGCTTGAAGAGGATAGAGCACAAGTTCACTGTAAAAATATAACAAAACAGGTACGACATAATACCATTTGGAGTTAATTTAACAGAATTTGTTGGAAAATTGCATCTCCACATCTATAAATCAGTAAAATGCAACAAGGGCTCTCAGTTATATTTGAATACATATGGAAGAGGAAGATCAAAGTAAAAATAAGGTTTTCAGTTTAATTTTTGAACATCAAAGTTACATTGTAAGACAACTAATATTTCAAAGTGTAATCTTAAGGTTTTTTTAATTGTTCCAGTAAAATTCTTATTTTGCTTTTAATTTAGATATTAACTTTGAAATTCCTGGCCTCTGTGTTACCATCATGGGATAATACAGATGATTCTGTGAGAGCCAAAGTGATTGTACAGAGACTGTTTAATTTGCTGGGTAAAGTAGTGATGACCTGTGTAGCTGATCCTACACTCTTACCTCAAAGTAAGTATAAACTGGACATGGATAATAAGAATATAGTATTTATTTCCTTTCAGTCCATCAGTCCACCACAGCTGTGCAAATCCTCTCAAAGAGGTCAAAGATTTTATTGAAATTTTTTGTAATTCTTCATGGCTTAAAGAAATTTTGCAAATAATGGACACTTAATATATCTGCATATATGGAGATACCACAGGTTACATTTTGGTCACGTATGTTTTCTGCTCTGTGCATCCATCTAATATTCCATCCATTTGTTTGTCCATCCTGCATCAGGTTAATGTTTTTGGTTAAGTTAGATTACTGTTAAGTTGGAGTTACATCAACTTAAAACTTAGTACACATATTTGTTATGATGTGAAAAATTTTTACTATATGCCAAATTAGGGCATTGAACCAGTTTCATGGTTCACTGAACATAAAAATTTAAGTGTGAGCAAGGCATTGTGTCAAGTCAAGTCAAGCTTTTTGTTCCTATGCAACGTTGTAACATTGTCATGGAGACATTTGAAATAAATATAATTTTGGAATGTTTCACTATTGTCAATAAAAATTACAGATTCTTATAAAACATCTTTGTAAAGTAATTATTTAAAAAGGAAAGAAATATGGGATAAACTTTAATGGGATAGCAGTCTTACAATAAAAGTGTAAATATGAATATCTAGAATTCACCTTATTGTTTGTATTTCAGTTGATTATCCCAGGAAAGGTCACAAACAGAGGGCACCAGTCTCTCTGACAGCCTCCTATACCAGTACCATCGCTGAGGAAATCATTACTCTGATCAGAAAACTACATACACATGACATCTGGAATTTGTATATCAACAACTTTATTACAGAACATTTGTCCTTGATAACAGACATGGTCATTGACAAACCTAGGTCATCTGAATTTCAGGTAAATACAGGCATGACAGGCTGCTTGCCTTTTATTTTACATTCAAATTCACCTGGTATATGTTATGTGTAATTATAAAGATTCAATTTAAAGACTTTGTTATTATAAATATCTAGATTTCCATTTAATCAAATTTGGTATTGACAACTTTAAGATAACCACTCATACTTCTACTTAAAAGTTTCAATAATATTTTGGTTGACATTAATAGATTTTTTCACAATTTACCTACTGTGGATTCATTATTATTCATTGGGTACCAATTTTCCTGGATTTCATTGGTATAGTTGAACCACAAATATAAATGTCCAACAGAGTACAAATTTCCTAAACACATTGTCTAGAATTTGTCAGAAGCCAGAATTTAAGTATCCATGAAAACATAAATTTTCCTCCATCCACAAAAATTGGTACCCACTAATTAGAAACAATGAATCCGCAGTAACATTTGAAGTTCATTCATATTCCTTCCAAGATGTGATAAAACTGAATCATTCATTGTAGGATGAAGATCAACCATTTGAAGACAACACTTCACCATTCCCAAATCAGCCTGCAGTTATGGCTGCCATGGCAGTTACAGGTGGTATAGACAATAGACCTCACCTAGGTGGCACTGTAAAACATCCAACCAATGGTCTTGGTGTAGTTACTAAAATAACACCAAAAGGCAAAATCCATGTACAATTTGGTAGCAAGCTAGTCAAAATTTGTAGACTAAATGAGCTTGTGACTGTAAGTATTATATAACTTAGTAATTAGTTAAGAAACTTGTAATAGTTATATTATTGATTTTGACATTTTAGGGCCTACAGTCAAAAATGTTGGGAGTACAAATTTTGTACTCGGACTCAGAAATCATCCAATCAAAATCATGGATTTGGTATTTAGAGCACAAATTTTGTACTCCGAGTATTGAGTAAAGTTATGCGACTGAAAGGATTGATGTTTGAAGAAAGGACAAGTTCTTCACTCCGTTTTATTTTCAGCTGTTGAAGTAATGTCATAGCTGTACTATAATCTCTACATTTATCAAACTTATACAGGGCATATTTAAAATTTAGTTGAATTATAAAATAGTTGACTCGTTAGATATCAATCCACATCTTGTTATTTTTATGCCCCACCTACGATAGTAAGGGGCATTATGTTTTACGGTCTGTGCATCCGTTCGTTCGTCTGTCCTTTTGTCCGTCTGTCCCCCTTCAGGTTAAAGTTTTTGGTCAAGGTAGTTTTTGATGAAGTTGAAGTCCAATCAACTTGAAACTTAGTACACATGTTCCCTATGATAAGATCTTTCTAATTTTAATGCCAAATTAGAGTTTTTACCCCAATTTCACAGTCCACTGAACCTAGAAAATGATAGTGCGAGTGGAGCATCCGTGTACTATGGTCACATTCTTGTTAGATCTTCAGATACTCCAATATACATTGTTTTACTGACATTCTATTCTATATATTGCAGTCTGTCTGTGTACATTTTGATGTAGAGAACATGAGACTGAGTGAAGACGCCCTAAAAATGTGGTCAACCCTGTTTAGCTTGAGTGGTAATATTGTAAAGGGAGACAAGGACAACAAAGATGGCCAAGGGGAAGAACCAGTAGAAATCAAAAGTAAGAAATCAAGACAGAAAATGAAATGCACTTTAAAAGAAAATAGAGATATGTTCTTTGAAACGCTTTTCATAGAAATATTGCATTCATTTCTCTGTTTTTTACAAGTAAAGTTACATATTATTCATTTTTATTCCCTGCTTACAAGAATATGTGGCATTATGTCTTCTGGTACTGTGGGTCTGTCTGTCTCTCGGACTGTCCTGTATCATTTAAAATTTTGGTTTAAGGTAGTTGACTATGAAGTCATGATTACATCAGATTGAAACTTAATATACATGATTATTATTATATGAACTTTTTACAACATATACCAAATAATGGTTTTGACCCAGATAAATATAGGCATATTGAATAAACAATTTTTCGTTTGAAAAAATATGACAATTTTCAGCAGAACATGGAATAGCAGATATGGAATTAAGAAAACAACAGTTGAGACTTGGAATACTGAAAGCTTCTAGAGTGTTGCTGAGTAGACAGGAGGTCCTACGACAAGTTCTATCACAGAGGATACTCCCATCTCTGATGCCCATTCAGGATACCTCAGAGCCTGCCAGTGATGAGGATGCACCAGAGCCTCCCAGTACAATACTGCAGCAGTTAATGGTGGCAGCCACACAGCCGTCACCACTCAAACCTGTCTTTACCAAAGAGGAACTGGAGGTAATGCTATCATGAAATTTTTATGTGATTCTTGTGTTTTCTGTGAAACTGAAAGTAAGTTTTTATATTGATCTAGGCTTTAAAATACATAGTATTATAAACATGTCAAGAAAATAAAAGCATGCTAGTTTTGACCTGTGTTAGCTTAACATCTGTATTATCTGGACAAATTTAGTTTGGTCTCGTTGTATTTTAAAATATCTTCATGTTCCTAGTTTTCTTTCCGAAATTCAATTTTATTGAAATACATTTCAGTTTTAGAAATTTAGCAATAATTTGACTGCTTAAAAAAATGTTTTGGCAATATTAACTCAGTTAATTTAATTGATGATTCCTTAGTTAGTTATAAAAAGCTAAAATTGGCTTCATTAATTTTGAAAGGTTTATTTTACTTAAAACAATTAATTGACACAAAGTAAATTTTGCTATTAAGCAAATACAAGAAGTATATTTTTATGAATTTTAGGGTGCAGCATTGACAGTAACACAGTATCTAACAGCATCACATTCCCAAAAAGGTGAAGATTCCGACTCCTCTGATAGTGAAAGTGAAGAGGAGGTCATTCCTACAACCACAAACCTTCCAGTATCTACTGACAACAACAACAGTAACCGCCCACCAAAACCAAAGAAACTCAAACCAACTCAACCACCACCATCAGCACTGGTAACGCAGCTCATGGAAATGGGATTTTCTAGGAAAAATGTGGAATTTGCTATTAAAGCACAACGTAAGATTTTATAGTAAACTGAAATTAAAATATATGTCTAAATGTTTAACTCAGAAAAGATGACTTTTCAAATATTCAGAAATTTTGAATCATTTGTAGATTTTTTATCAGTCCTTGAAGGAATTAATTTATTGAACCTCTCAAACACACAGCAAATTAGAAAATTGGTTTGTTGGGCAATTCTTTACCAAATTTTCTCTGCATATATCCATCAAAATAGAATCTTAGATATAAAATCAGATATCTAAAAAAACTGAGATAAGCGACAAAACATATTATGGCTATTTCATTAAAATGAATGTGAGATGGTAGGAAGAAACGTTTTAAATTTTAACATGGATTATGGGTTATTTATTGTTGTATGTCCATTAGATGTATACAAACTTACTTCGAGGATGTATGTTGGTTGTTCAGGAATTTTTGAAGTCTCTTCCTACCCTCCCACATCTAATTAAATGGTATAGCAATGAATAAAGATGCATGACTTTTTGTTGACAGCTGGTAGTGCAGTATTAGGAGGATCAGAACCTAACGCTGAGACCTTGGTCGGTTGGTTGTTAGAACATCCTGACCTGAACCTTGATGATGATACAGATACTGATAGTATCTCCTCTCTTGACTTTTATTCTGATTCTGATTCTACATCAGAAGATTTCGAGGCAGAGGAGGAGCCTAATTTCTTTGAGAACAACAATGCTGTAAGTCATAGGATTCTTTCATATTGATAATAAAGGGATACAGGGAAGAGTGCTGTTTAGCTTAGCACTCACTAGAAACATGGGCACATAATTTTCTAACAAAAGTATGTACACTTATGAAGAGATAAGGCTGAGATACTAGTTGTAGATATATTATTATCCATTTTGCATGTATTTTGGACTTTATATGCAAAATCCACATATATTTTATAATTGAGGCAGTAAACATTGTATGATTGCTGAAGAAAATCTTGAATGATATATCCCTGTAGATTTAGAAACATATTGTCATAAACATAAGAAATATTCTGTGATGTTCATTCTTTATTTTACAGAATAGGACAATCAAATTACGGACTATGACCTTAATACTTATATTTATTTAATAGTTAATTTTACCTTCAGGAAACATGTTGGAAAAGATAAATGATATACTGCATTTTGATTAACTCTTTTTCAGCTCCAGGAGGTTGTGTCTCCCACAACTACTAACACTCAGACATTTAAGAAGAGGTCAGACTTTGTGACCAATGACCAGTATGCTATGTATGTGAGAGACAACTTACAAGTCGGCATGAGTGTACGCTGCTGTAGAACATATGAAGATGTACAAGAAGGGGACATAGGAAAAGTTATCAAGGTATAAACAGATAATGAATTATGTATTATATCAGATTATTTTTATTTGAATAGTCTGAAACTACCATACTTTTGTTGGGTACATATATTCAGGATTTTAGGTTTGATAAAATCCACAAATTTTTAAATTAAAAAAAAAATGCATATTTAACAGTGCATAGTTCTGGTCCTAAAACACAATTTTATAAGTTTATTTGCTTATCTGGATTGAACAAAGTACAAAATTAAATTTGAGAAAAATAAAATAAAAAATCTAGGACTTTTATTATGTGAATATTATATTGCTAGCACTAAATTTTATTTGAAGTTCAAATTCAGTGTGAACTGAATGCACACCTTTTACTATTATTTTGTTTTATTATTTCAGTTGGACAGGGATGGATTGCACGATTTAAACATTCAGGCAGACTGGCAAAGTAAAGGTGGGACATACTGGGTCAGATACATACATGTAGAACTATTGGGATTCATTAGCCCTGGTAAGTTGTATAGTGTGCAAAGGATGGCAACATTAATAGCATGAAACCATCCCTTAACAGCTATTTAGGATAACAAGAGGATTTTTAATTGGATAATACATTTTTTATGTTTCAGCATCAATAAGGAGAAGAAAATTGAATCATTTAGCACATTGTTTTATAAAAGTGAACAAGATAAGTTAAACTTCTCCAAAGGAGAAAACTTATAGCTGATCTCTCAGAATGGTTAATACCTATGTTAATTAACCACACAACATGCATGTTAACTCGGAAATTGTTTTAAAGTTTGTATATAGACCACTTCTTGTTTATGAATTAGTTATGTCAGTTGACCCGAGGTCAATCAGCTTTAAAGATGTTGTTAAACAAAGGATTTTTACTGTGAGGTAATAACGTAACCATTGTGACACAGAAAAATGTACAAATTTGAAACTTGTATTTATCCAAAACATTTTTACTAAAATGCCCTTAACAGAATAGCCAGAAAACTATATTTGGTATGAGGTTGTGTAAAGTTTGATTTCCCTGGCCTGTGTAAATTAGTGACAAAGTTATATTTATGTTTTAGGTAGTACAATAAAAGTTGGAGATAAAGTCAGAGTAAAACCATCAGTTACCATGCCAACATATAAATGGGGATCAGTTACTCACAGGAGCATTGGAACAGTTACAGGTATCACTTTATTATTATTTAAAAAAAAATTCAGCTGCTTATTTATGTTTTATTTAAACAAATCGTGTGATAAACATATTCTGTATAAAAAAGTTGGATAATCTCAAACAATCAAGGCTAAAATTTATCCTACAGGGTTTGTTTACATAAATTTACTTTATTTTCCAGATGTCATGGTTGATTTCAACAAATAAGTGATTAACTTACATGAACAAATGTTTCAATAGAGTATTTGCATTCTGAGTGAAAGAAAAAAAAAAAAAAAAATCAAGCAGGTAATTCACCTTCACTATAGGAGTAAACTTTTCATTTTTTGAATATTTGATTGGAAGCTGACTTTTTCGATTTGTTTACTATAATGTACTGGACATAAAAAAGGAGAAAATGCATACATTATTGAAGACAATTTCATATTTATTTTTCCACAGCTATCAATCCTAATGGGCGTGATGTAACAGTAGACTTTCCTCAGCAGGCCCATTGGACTGGTATCATAGAAGAGATGGAGATAGTACCTAGTACTCACCCTGGTGTTGGGTATATATATTTTTACAATAATTGGATGGTTTAAAGATAGTAAAGAGTTTAGAAAAGTTCATCCAAGATACAAGGCTTATGATTTTGTACACCAGACAGGCGATTGGTCTACATAAGATTCATTACTGTCACTGAAATTAGGGAAAATACAAAATTTTTAACACATATTCTAGTTTTAATGTATTGTACAATAAATCTTATATAATTCCTAGCACAATGGGAATATATTCATTAGTATTTTTTATTGTTTTTATATGAAATAATAGGTAAATTTCTGATAGGTGAAACACTTTTGACCTGTGACTGTATACATGCTTCTATTTTAGTTGTGATGGATGTGATGTATTCCCTATTGTTGGTAACAGATATAAGTGTAGGATGTGTGATGACTTTGATTTCTGTGAAAACTGTTTTAGAAGTAAAAAACACAGACATCCATTTAACAGGATAGGTGAACCAGGTAAGATATATTCTACATGCTTCACAAATTACTTGTAATAACTTGTAGTTCGTAAGGTTGTACAATATATACTGTGGATTCATATATACTGTGGATTCTACTGTGGATTCATTGTTATTTGTGGGATACAAATTTTCGTGGATTTCGCTGGTCCAAGTGAACCACGAATTTAAGTGGATTTCGCTGGTCCAAGTGAACCACGAATTTAAGTGTTCAATTAAGTACAAATTTTCTATAGGCTTGTTTGCATTTTTTCCCTTGATCCACGAAAATTGGTATCCGCGAAAATAAATGAATTCACAGTATGCTCAAGATTGCTGTAAACAAAAACATGTCATGAATTGCTTTGTTATGCAGCATGTTTGCCTATCAACATGCATGCCTGCATCATGTGACAGTCAAAGTTTTCTTCAAAAGTTTCTGTTCTTCCATAAGACAGAATTTATGATAAACGTGTCCTGTTATGGCTATATTATTAGCCACTTGTATTTTAAATATTCATGTCCTGCATTTAAATTCTAGGTCATATATATTTGTTTATTTTACTGTATTTTGAATCCTCTATGAAGCTTGAATTTATGAATTGTAAAAAGTGCTGAGAATTTACCTTTCAAAATTGTAGAAAGTGATCCAGTACCTGTTGGAAAGCCAGGTAAACAGAAGAAAAAATTACCATATATTGCAAGTGGAGCCATGATAGATGATTGGCATACCTGTGTTAAGAATATGACTGTATCGTCGAGAGAGAATCAGGCACACAGACTTGTAGATGGTAATGGTGGACACTGGCAGAGTTGTGGTACACAAGGAAAGGTACAGAAAAAAAATAAATCTAATGCATATAAAAAGGGGCACAGTAACCTTTTCCCAAATTATAATCTTTTCAAGAAACAAATTCAGTATGTGAAGCATAGTAAGCCATGATTCAATTCAACTGAGCTGAATGAGTGCTGCAATATTCAAATGGTATGTAGCTATACATTTAGGCAACAGTAGTTTATCAATGTTCATATCTCATAAACTGATTAGAAAGATACAAATCAAGGTAACGATAAAACTGATGGAATGGCAGAAACTTTAAAAGGAGTGATACTGGGTGTGTCAATAGGGTAAGTGTCTATGGCTATGCATACATTTTACATGAAGCAGGCCATTAGTTCTTGTTTGAATTGTTTTACATTTGTCATTTCGGGGCCTTTTATAGCTGACTATGCAGTATGGGTTTTACTCATTGTTGAAGGCCGTACGGTGACATATAGTTGTTATCTTCTATGTCATTTGATCTCTTGTGGAAAATTGTCTCATTGGCAATTGTACCACACCTTTTTATTTTATATAAGCCTGTTATTACTTTATAAATTCAGGTAAAGAGAAAAATATACATCTGATGAATATATAAAAAATGGCACAGTAACTTCGTACACTGATCATTATAGTTGTGGTTTTATTCTTTGCTCATCATTGTTATAAGAGTGAAAAGTATCACAAAAATACAAATGATAAACTTGATAACTCATTGTATGTTTTACATTTAGATGGTTCAAATTTGTTTTGGAAATACACACTTTTTTGTCATAAATGATTTAAAATTAGTTAAGAACTATAGTAGTTACCAAGGAATATTTTTAAAATGTGGAACATATGATTGATTGATTGTAGCTTGTTTAATGTAAAGTGACAAATATTTGATGTGGAAAATAGGTTGTTTAGATGTATGATATGCAATATATAATGGAAAAGAAATGATATATTTATTAGATATTGGTCAGATTGTTTTATTCTATTTCAGCATTGGATAAGAATGGAGATGCTTCCTGATATATTAATACACAGACTTTACATGAGAGTAGAGCCTACTGATTCCAGTTACATGCCCTCAGTGGTGGTGATATATGGAGGAGAGACGCTCAGTAGTATGAAGGAGATTCGTACAGTCAACATCTCATCATCAGAAACACTCATCACATTACTCTTAGATATGAATGAGGTGATTAAATGTGTAAATAGGAAACCCAAGATCAAAAAATAAAAACATATATTATTTCATAAATTCCTAAAAAGTAGAAACATTTTATCAATCAGAACAAAAAAAATTCTATATTCTAAAACAGCAGTATCATTTGATTGATGTCAATTATACAATTTTGTTCTAGAAAACAAAAAACATTTGAATTAGAATGAAATACTTTTTTATTTTCCAAAACAGAAGATTGAAATGAATTACTATTTTCAATAGTCCATTAGGGCAGTAGCATTTTGTCCTTATAAAAGAAGGTTAATATCTTAACTTAAAGGGAAACTTCGCAAAAAAATGAAAAATTCATATTCTGTTCATTATGTATAAAAAAGCACAAATTCATAGATATTAAAGTTTTATTCTGCAAGTTAAGAGATCACCATCGATTTTAAATTTAGGGTATCAATTCTCCGCATGCGGCCATTTTGACATCCTCCCCGAATATTGACCACGATATATCTATAAACCACAAAGGACCAAAACAAGCAGTAACCTAACGTAGCCGTAATTGAGTGTCGATATCTTGTCAAGCGTACGGTTGTTTTATCCGACAAGGAAAGCATAAACAGTTTCCCGGGTCACAAAAAAGATTATGAAAGACATGGTTGTGCAACCTTTCCTAACTAACTTGATACGGAAAATGTAATTTTATATATATTAATTTTTAAATAACTAGTACTAATAGTATGGTCTGTCGTTTTGAAACTGTTTTGTTTACGAAGTATTTAAAACAAGAAATTGAAATTAGTTAAAAAGTCAAAGTTATAAATAAGTGTTCCGTGTAAAATTGTTTTTGAAAATCTAGTTTGTTCATAATTGTTTTATGTAATAAACTTTTTAAAATAAATTCGGACCTTCCCTTATCTGATCACCAGAATGGCTAAAGGGATTGTTCCCAGAGGTATTGTGAGGTGACACGTACAGGTATTCAAGCGATTTCCTGTCGGGCTTTAAAACTGTTATTACACAATTACATAAAACAAGTTCGTGCATCACTTCTTTTCTGGGGGTATTGATCAGTGTACACGGCCGATAACATGTAACTTCCATTTTGAATCTATCAGGTGTAATATACAACTTTGTATAGCGTATCCGATAGTGATATACTACTAGTCATTGCTAAACTCATACGCTTGTTTATAAATAACATTTTTGGTGTAAAGAATGATTTTATGAAAATTTAAATAATAATAATTTAAAAAAAAAAAAGATTTGATGAAATAAAAATCTATTTACGACATTTTCCAAGGGTAAATTGGGGAAAATGTAAGTATATACTCGTTGTCAATAATTATGGACATTTTGAAACATACAAATATTGATTTAACAAAATGTGCGGCACTTATCGATCGTTGGTTTATACGCCTAGATGGAAGGTTTAATACGGAACTATGGATAGTCGCAATATAGAACTAATATCATACAAGTATATTGAATATACGAGAGAAACATCCAGAACCAATCTGATTTAAATACAGGTCGATATCTAACTTGCTTTGGTTCATCGAAGCTATAGACATAGTAAAATCAAAGATTTATATTTCAATAAGATTATTTTGAACAGTTTAAGAAATTCGTCATCATCACATTTTCCTGGTCCGACATGCATGTTATATATATATATGCCACTGGACGTGCACTAATGATACCCAAAAGCCTATTTGAAGAAATAAAGAAACTTCACTCCGGATAGACTGATGGAAGTTGTATTAACGTCTGGTCAGCTAGAGGGTTGATTTATTTATTTAGTTAGCTTGTAGGGGATTAAACCACTCTTAATATTGCACTTATGCATTAGATATTAAATGACAGTACCGGTAATATAAGAGAAAATATAAATACGAAAAGTCGCATATCTGATAGAAAAGGACTCACCATGAACTATAGGATTGTACGTACGATTGTCATTCTAAATCGCATAACGGACAGTCATTTAAATGCATGCATGTACGCTGTGATAAAAAGGGGTGTCGCAGTTGCAAAGTATTCATCATAAATCTATTTCAAGGTTATTATTTCCTGTTATTTTTATAAGTTAACGCAGAGACATGTATACACTAGATCTCTATTTAACGACAAGCAACTATATAAATATCTGAATCTGATGTGACTTACCGTTCATCTCTTTCTTTTTTCTCATTTTATTTTTATTTTTGCAGGAATATACACATTGTAAGATATACTGTTCCTCGATTTGGGGGGGGGGGGGGGGGGGGGGCATTTCCGGGTATAACAGAGCTACTTGTATATTACCTGAATGTGGTTAGGTGACTTCCCATGAGGTCTTACGTATACATGTTCATATTTATAATGGTTTCTGATATAACAATTAGGTTTTATAACATTCACATTTCTGCATGTTCTGTATACCAAATTCGTATCTTTTTTTCAGACCGAATGAGGATGTCAATATTTTCCAGGATCAAATTCATTTCGGGATTTTTTTTTATTTCTTTGTATTAAATCTCAGAAATTTACAGAATATACTGCTTGTCCGCTTTAGGAGTTTTTTTGTCTGTTTAAACAGACGTATATATGTCTCTGGTTTAGAGTGGGGTTATGAATGAATGATAAGTCTTACAAAGGTACAAGATATCAAGCACATTGAAAATTGATTTCGACGTTCTGTCTCCATTTAAAAAAGGAAAGTTGACGTTAGATTGATTCTGTTAATTTTGTTAAACATCGTTGGTCAAATAGCTTAAGAATTATATAAATACGTTGTGAGATTTATAATATTTTAATAAGGGCATTCCTGATTAGGTAAATGAAGATCGCTTTGGACGACAAAACTATTTTTTTGTAACTGATAATTTTCTCTGCACATTTAAATATTCAAGGTTACCGATGATAATTTAAAATAGTACTGTTTTGATTTATACGCTCGTTTTCGTGGGTCATTTATAATATTTATATAATTATTTTATTAAAAGTGATTCAGAATTTCGATGTTACAACAAAATACTCACCTATTTATTTAAAAACTGAGCAAATGCAAAATGTCAAAAAAATATATATATAACGGCGATTAAGGTATTTTGCCACCATATTCCTCCCTTAATAATTAAAAAAAATCTGTCTCATACCTGCAACGGTGAACCCTTGAGGACAAACACCACTCTAGTGAAGATCAAAGGATTAAAATTACATAATGCTAATCTTTTAATTACCGTGAATTTAACCACGCCTTTACCAGGTGGTGTCAGCATAATACACATGCATTGTATTTACACAGTACTAGACTGAAGCAATGATTTGTATAGTAAGACAAATCCTCGACTGAAGTAATAGGGGAGAATACAAACGTGAATTTCTATTATACTATCAGTTATATATGTTGTTAAAAATATCCGTCGAAAAAAAAATCATAAAAAAATTCTATTGTATGATTTGCTTTTATTACTATAATCATATCAGAAATCCTTAAAATATAAATCGTAAATTTTAATTTAAAAAAATGCACGGCTGATCACTTTTCTTTCTGAATTGTTAGTTGGTTAATAGCTACACCAAAAGTCATTGATGCGCTTTAAATCGCGTTATTAGATGATTAACGAACAAGACTTTAAATGAGATTAATCCACTCCCGGCATGCAAAAAGACTTAAACTACGTCACATAAGTCAGGAAGTTTGAATAAATAGAATTAATAATTCCCAATTTTCTTCTTTACTAGTTTTCATATCCAGATAAAACTTGGTGAATATGTTTTTAATGGTATTATGAACATAATAAGATGATAAGTAAAAAATCGTGAATTTTCCCTTTAATTATATACAATATTCAGTATAAAAAAGATGATACGGTAAATAGTCAAGGAGACAACTAACTATCTACCAGAAGATGTAGTCTTGTATGCATTTTTCCATAGGACATTTTGTTATCCTGTTCTACTAAAAGAAGATAAAAATTATGAAATATCCTTATCCAAGTATTAGCCCATTTAAAGGTTTTTGTGATTTGAAAAAATTAATATTTTCAAAGTTAAGAGCATTTATATGTAGATGTCCTGTTTAAGTTGTATAGGGCACTGAGATGTCATGTAAATGGTGAGAAAAAATAGACCATTATTTCATGGAACTTTACAACTTATTTGAAAAAAATTGTGTAAAAAATATTTTTGCATTTCTTTACCCTAGTATGATATATATGTAGCTAATCAAAACAATGTTTCTTTTGAACAGTACCTAAGATTCATAGAGCTCCAGATCAAACAGTGTCGTAGTAGTGGTATAGACTGTAAAATACATGGTATGTCAATCATAGGACGATTGAAAACCGATGAGGATGACACTGCCGCTAACTTTTCATTCCTAGCCTCAGACAGAGAAGATGATGAAGAGGAGAAAACTACGCATACAGGAACCAAGAAAAAGTCTAAAATAGGTGCTGGCAAGGAAATACAGACTCATGTGTTTGTCTGGGGACTAAACGATAAAGATCAGTTAGGAGGTCCAAAAGGCTCCAAGGTAAATGATTTTAATACTCAAGGCTCAAATTTATGTGAGTAACTAATGATCAGATTAGTTAGGTGATTCTAAAGGCTTTGAACTATATGATATACTTGAATTAATACCTTATAAGGAAAAACCATACAACAAGAAAAATATTTTTGAGTTGGTTATTCCTACCAATGATTGGATAATCACAAGTCTGAAGAATAGTCAATAAGATCACCTCCCCCCTCCCCTTTTAGATAAAATGTGCATGTGTTCCAAAATAAGAACACTGTAAAAAGTTTGAGAACCTAGAGAATTTCACAGTAAACAAAATTGCAGTATATTTCTCTCATTTTCGACCCATATCTTAAATCTAAATAACAAGAAGAGCCTTTAGAATTATTGACTGGAAAAATATGCTTCTGTGAAATCTGTTTGCTTACAAAAAAGATGTAAATGAAATTAACCTTATAAACATATTTACAGTTTTAATTGCTTTGAATTTTATTTGGAAGACAAATTAAACCACTGTTTTGAAAAACTGACATCGAATACATAGATATTTTTGTAGTTACTTAATGTATGTTAAATACATTTGTTATTGGACATTCATAGAATATTTTTTTACAGATAAAACTACCATCTTTAAATGATTCACTGTCAACATTGAAATGTGTGCAGATAGCTGGGGGATCCAAAAGTTTATTTTGTGGTAAGTTTACTAACACAAACTTATAATAAAGAAAAACAGAGAATATCATTCAAGTCCAATAGTCTCAGTAGAGTTTTCTGCACTAATGAGAATTCATAATATATGATACCAACTTGATATGAAAAAAAAGAGAAAAAGATCAAATGTCAGAAAGGCTTGAAACTACAACCAAACAACACAAGATAAAAAATTATCATAAAGGACACCACATGGTCTTCAACAATGAGCAGGAACTTATGTCATAAAGTTCTAAACTACCTGGGAATAAATTCAAAATGGTTAATGAAACTTAAAACAAATTCAATGCAAAAGTACAATCAACTAAATGAGACATTGACAACCATGGTTAAGGTTCCTGTTCCATCTCTAGTTGATTGGTATAAAAATAACTTCTTTATAATTAATTCATATAGTTGGTGTGGATATCTATACAAATGATATTTGTAATATATCTTTGAATCAAGTATTTACTATTGGACAGGCTACAGTCATATGACTTATAGTGTTTGTATATTTAATGTTTTATGTTTAAGTTACCCAGGTATGTAAGGGATATATATGCCTTTGGTGAGGTAATTTATTTGAAATTGGGTTCGGGGGAAAGAAACAGAGACTCATTTTGTTGTGGTTTATTGTAGTTACCCAGGATGGTAAATTTTATGCCTGTGGAGAAGCCACCAACTGGAGACTTGGTCTAGGAATTAGAACAGACTAATTATTGTGTTGTATTTTTATTTTAGTGACCCAAGATGGTAAAGTATATGCCTGTGGAGAGGCCACCAATGGAAGACTTGGTCTAGGAATTAGTACGGGCACAGTTTCTGTCCCCAAACTAGTGACGTCACTCAGTCAATATGTTATCAAGAAAGTAGCAGTACATTCAGGTATCATTGATATTCTCATTAAAAGGTTCACTATGTTAAGGTCATTCAACCTTGCTCATAAGACAAGTCTTAGGTTATGCAATTCCCTATACTGAATATTGTGCTTTCGGAAGTACACATGAAGGAACTGACGGTAAATGTTTGTCCATAATTGTTTGCCATATTGTAATATAACAATTCATATATCATGCTAGTGTACTTGGCTTTCAAGATTCAAAACTATCTGTGACATCATACTTAGAAAAAGTAATTGAATGTTATTATTTCAGGAGGAAGACACTGTTTAGCTTTGACGACAGATGGCAAAGTTTTCTCCTGGGGAGAAGGAGATGATGGAAAATTAGGTCACTTCAGTAGATGGTAAAATATTTACCTGTGTTTTTAGCATGCTTCAATTTGGTATTTTTAAGTAGAAACAATATATAGCAAATAACAGTGACTATTTCTTTCAGAAAATAAGGTGGGTAGCATTAAGAATTTTTTTTTTGAAATAATTCAATTAATTGGCACCCATAGGTTTAATGATTAGTATCTTTGAATATATCAAACCAAAAAGAAAAAAAAAATTGTTGATAAACTTTTTAAAATATAAATGTTCAATTCAGTTATAATATTTTGTAGGAATTGTGACAAACCAAGACTAATAGAAGCACTGAAGTCCAAGAGAGTGAGGGATATAGCCTGTGGAAGTTCTCACAGTGCTGCTATTACATCTAACGGGGATCTATATACATGGGGTCTTGGTGAATATGGTCGATTAGGTCATGGTGATAACACAACACAGCTTAAACCAAAACAGGTATGGTATTGTCACAACAAAAAATATTTTGTTTGGATTTAGTTTCATTATATGAAAGTAAATTATGTAAAATAAAAATCAATCTCTTAACAAAACTTAGAATAGCTGTATGGTGAGTTTTTCTCATTGTTGAAGTTCATACAGTGACCTCTTACTGAATCTGCTTCATTTGGACTCTGTTAGAGAATTTCTCTCATTGGCAATCATACCACATCTCCTGATTTTATATGAATGATCAGTAGCCTGAATATTAACTCAAAAGGATATATATGAATTTTCAGGTGAAGGCATTAGCCAGTCAGAGGGTGGTACAAGTAGCCTGCGGTAGTAGAGATGCCCAGACTTTGACACTTACAAGTGAGGGGCGTGTCTACTCATGGGGTGATGGAGATTTTGGTAAACTTGGACGAGGTGGCAGTGAAGGTTGTAATGTCCCACATGAGATAGAACGATTGAGAGACCTTGGAGTATGTCAGATAGAGTGTGGAGCACAGTTCTCTCTGGCTTTAACCAAAGCTGGACAAGTTTGGACATGGTAGGAATTTCAGTATTTTTTTCCTTCACAGTAGTTTTTAGCTCACCTGGCCCAAAGGGCCAAGTGAGCTTTCTCATCACTTGGGGTCCATCGTCCGTCGTCGTTAACTTTTACAAAAATCTTCTCCTCTGAAACCACTGGGCCAAATTTGATCAAACTTAGCCACAATCATCATTGGGGTATCTAGTTTAAAAAATGTGTCCGGTGACCCGGCCAACAATCCAAGATGGCCGCCATGGCTAAAAATAGAACATAGGGGTAAAATGTAGATTTTGGCTTATATCTCTGAAACCAAAGCATTTAGGGGGTAAAATTGTTAATCAGGTCAAGATCTATCTGCCCTGAAATTTTCAGACCAATCAGGCAACACGTTGTTGGGTTGCTGCCCCTGAATTGGTAATTTTAAGAAAATTTTGCAGCTTTTGGTTATTATCTTGAATATAATTATAGATAGAGATAAACTGTAAACAGCAATAATGTACAGCAAAGTTAGATCTACAAATAAGTCAACATGACCAAAATTGTCAATTGACCCCTTGAGGAGTTATTGCCCTTTATAGTCAATTTTTTACAATTTTCATAAATTTTGTAAATTTTTGTAAATTTTTACAAAATATTTTCCATTGTAACTACCGGGCCAAGTTCATTATAGATAGAGATAATAGTAAGGAGCAAGAATGTTCAGTAAAGTAAGATCTACAAACACATCACCATCACCAAAACACAATTTCGTCATGAATCCATCTGTGTCCTTTGTTTGATATGCACATAGACCAAGGTGAGCGACACAGGCTCTTTAGAGCCTCTAGTTATAATTAACACTAATATGAGGTTGTATATATGAGCCAAAATTTGTTCCTGTGAAAAAAGTTCCAGTGGAACTTGTATCACAGGAAATATGTTTTGGGAGAACTTTTTTCACAGATAATTTCTATATAACTTGTTCCATCTCTATAAAATAAGTTCCACACTTTACCTGGTAAAATAAGTACCGGGTTGGCGAAAATTGTTCCTTACCTAGTGAAATAAGTTCTGGGTTTATGAGATTTGTTCCTTACCTGGTGAAATAAGTTCCGAGTTTGTGAGATTTGTTCCTCACCTGGTGAAATATGTTCCACTGGTTAAACAAGTTATCTTATATACTGGGCATTTGTCATCAGTCAGTTTGAAGTTATCATTCAAGTGCATTATAAAAATAAGTAGTATATTAATAATATAAAAGATAAAAAGTGTAAATCATCCAGTTTGGATCCTATGGAGTATAGCAAATGTTTGATTATATATTCTGTAAAAAATATCTAAATGACACTTTTGAACCAGAAAAGATTAGAATAAGAAAAATCATTCAGAAAATAAGTATAGTTTAAGAGGAACATATGTACTAATTTGAAAAGGACAAAGTGACTTGATCATTTATAAATATCAAAAGACATGTAGAAAAAAAAGACACACTCTTTTGAAACTGTGCCATGTCCTAAGTACATGTATGACGAGAACAAGGGGCCATGGCAGTTAACAGGAACCAAGGAGGAATACCGCATAAAACATAAATACAAATTAGAAAAAGGGGCCATGGCTGTTAACAGGAACCAAGGAGGAATACTGCATAAAACATAAATACAAATTATGATACATTACCATCGCTTTTATTTCTTATCTTCATCCTATAGTTACAGTCATGCCTTCAATTGCAAATGTATCCCATGCAAGTACACTCAGTACAGCATTTAGCTTGCATTATAATTTAAGTGTAACAAGAAAATGTTTTGGTGTGCAATAATGATTGAGCGGAACTTATTCATTAGTTTCTATGAAATATTTACATGTTCGTTTAAAACTAATGTCACAGGAACTTATTTAAAACTTTTTGATATTAATTGAAACAAAATTCATGGAGCTATGATTTTTGTTCCGGAATTTCACATTTGGCCAAAAAATTAGTTCCGGAACAAATTTTACAGTGCTGGAACATATTTTCTGTGATATAAATACCGGTGGAACATATTTCCTATGAAATTTGTTCCGGCGGAACATGCCCGAACAAATTTTTTGTTACAAATTTGTAAACAAATCATGTTATCAATAATCTTCTTGAATATGGTTTTTTCCTCCATCCAAGAAAATTGACAACCAAGAAACTGAGGAATCCATAATATGTGCATTAGGTTATTTATATAAGAGTTAACTAGTTACTCACTTATAAACACAATAAAGAAACAAGGAGTGACATGTGTTCTGAAATTACTAATCTTCTTATGAACTACTCAGTTAATTGACCTGTGAAACTTTATGGTAGATAAATCATCATTCACAAAGCATTTATATGTTATATATTTGTTTTAGGGGAAAGGGAGATTACTTCAGACTTGGACATGGAACAGATGCTCATGTCCGTAAACCACAGATGGTAGAAGGACTGAAATCAAAGAAGATAGTACATGTAGCAGTAGGAGCCCTTCATTGTCTGGCTGTCACAGATAATGGACAGGTTAGTACAGGTGGAACGTTGGTAGCAGATATAATACAAATAGGGTCTTAATTGTCTATATATAGGATAGATTTTAAAGTACTAATCATTAGGCAGGAGAAGTTAGACTTCCATGTTGTATGATGTCATACCTGCCAACCCTCCCGTTTTGAGCGGGAGTCTCCCGCGCAAATGACGAAATTTTGGAAATCTCCCACTTGCTGGTCCCCTGCCGCATGGGAGTATAGAATCTCCCGCTTTCAGATATTTTACCTGGAATGACCCGCGTTCGTAATTCTCTGGCTTTTTCATTTACTGTCAATAGAAATATATAAACAATCGGCGATCATTTGAAAACTTTGGTCAGTAGTTTTTATGTTCGATTTTTAAGTAATCGAAATTCATTTCTGCTATATCAACTCCAACAAGATAGAGGTCTTTGTCTGGATCCAGCGGCAGTGTAAAAAGAAGAAATAGATAACTGCAAATCAAAATGTCAAGCAGATTGAATGAAAGATTTTCGGTTTTTACGACCAAGTTCACTAGGCAATGAATCTTCACACATTTTGCATATCATGTTCAATCAACTTTTCGGTTTCTTCTAGTGGTCTGTATTACGTTTGAAAGTATGCTTAATGTGAGATTCACAACAAAATCAAAATATGGAATGTTATGAGTTATGAGAGTTAGAGCCAGAGGTATTGAAAAAGGCAAAAATATAAAAAGAACCTACCTTGTATAGATTATAACCATGAATTGAAGAAATAAAGTATATTTATTAACTCTTATTGGTGTTTTGTAGATGAATAAGTAAACAGGTCATATATTTAACTTGAAAATGTCGTTCGCGCAAAATCTCCCCCTCAGCTGTCATAGCTGAGGGGGAGATCTCCCTCTTTGAAGGTTTTAGAGGTTGGCAGGTATGTGATGTAATATGGTGAAAAATGTGAGACAATACCAAAAATTTGGGACAATCAGAAACAGTAAAGTAGAAGAAAGACTAACAATGGCCAAAACTAGAAAGATTATTCAACAGTTCATAAAATACTACATAGAAAATTTAAGATTAAGCTACACCAACCACATCAAAATTCAGGGTGATTCAGAAGGGTAAACAGCACATGCTCAATTTGTGGCACCCGTCATTGTGCTCTAGACAGTATAAAATCTGGTGATAAGTGGCATTAAAGATCAGTTATTGTAAAATGGTAAGAAATTTAAAAGATAAACCATCAGTACTCTTAAGTTTCAGTGTTGAAATGAAAATTACAGGTTTTTGCATGGGGTGACAATGACCATGGACAACAAGGAAATGGTACCACAACAGTCAACAGGAAACCAGCTCTGGTCCATGGACTGGAGGGATTTAAGATTACCAAAGTAGCTTGTGGTTCATCACACAGTATAGCATGGGCTACCACTGATTTGTCAACACCATCTACACATGAACCAGTCCTATTTTCTACATCAAGAGATCCACTAGGGGCAACAATTCTGGGTAAGTACTCTGGTCTTTGACAAATTGTATAGGGAACTACAAGATTTCCATACAGTAAAGCTTTGATGGTTGGAACTCAAAGGCTCTGTTTGTCTTGAAATAGCATTAAAATATAGCTGCTTTTTATGAAACAATATTAGTCTCAGAGATGATATTTGAACCATAAAAATATGTATTCCTTTTCATCTGATAGGTATTATACCTACATTACTGTAAATTTTATGAGATGTCATTTTTTATGCCCCCGCCATAGCGGAGGGGGGTATTAAGTTTTACCCTTGTCCATCTGTACGTACATCCGTACGTACGTACGTCCATAAGTTGGTTTCCGTTCTCAAACTTTAGTTTGCCTCAACCAAATGTTATGAAACTAATACACAATGCTTATTACCACTAAATACAGATCAAGTTTAAATTGGGTGGTGTCACTTTTACCGTTCCTTAGTTATGTCCCTTTATAAACATAAAAATTGCTGAATTTTCCGTTTCCATTCTCTAACTTTAGTTTGCCTCAACCAAATGTTATGAGACTTATACACAATGCTTATTACCACTTAATACAGATCTAGTTAGAAATTTGGTGACGTCTCTTATACTGTTCTAGAGTTATGCCATTTACAAATGGAAAAATTGCTGAATTTTTCATTTTTTTGTCGAGCCTGCGACTTTTGTCGCAGAAAGCTCGACATAGGGATAGCGATCCGGCGGCGGCTACGGCGACGGCGGCGTTAGCTAACTTCTTAAAAGCTTTATATTTTAGAGGGTGGAAGACCTGGATGCTTCATACTTTGTGAATGGATGCCTCATGTTACGAAGTTTCCGTCAGTCACATGTCCAATGTCCTTGACCTCATTTTCATGGTTCAGTGACTACTTGAAAAAAAAGTTAAGATTTTTTGTAATGTTAAATTCTCTCTTATTATAAGTAATAGGATAACTATATTTGGTATGTGCGTACCTTGCAAGGTCCTCATGCCCGTCAGACAGTTTTCACTTAACCTTGACCTCATTTCATGGATCAGTGAACAAGGTTAAGTTTTCATATCTCAGATACTATAAGCAATAGGTCTAGTATATTTGGTGTATGGAAGGACTGTAAGGTGTACATGTCCAACTGGCAGGTGTCATCTGACCTTGACCTCATTTTCATGGTTCAGTGGTTAAAGTTAAGTTTTTGTGTTTTGGTCTGTTTTTCTTATACTGTATGCAATAGGTCTACTATATTTGGTGTATGGAAGGACTATAAGGTGTACATGTCTAGCTGGCAGGTGTCATCTGACCTTGACCTCATTTTCATGGTTCAGTGGTTATAGTTAAGTTTTTGTGTTTTGGTCTGTTTTTCTTATACTGTATGCAATAGGTCTACTATATTTGGTGTATGGAAGGATTGTAAGGTGTACATGTCCAGCTGGCAGGTGTCATCTGACCTTGACCTCATTTTCATGGTTCAGTGGTTATAGTTAAGTTTTTGTGTTTTGGTCTGTTTTTCTTATACTGTATGCAATAGGTCTACTATATTTGGTGTATGGAAGGACTATAAGGTGTACATGTCTAGCTGGCAGGTGTCATCTGACCTTGACCTCATTTTCATGGTTCAGTGGTTATAGTTAAGTTTTTGTGTTTTGGTCTGTTTTTCTTATACTGTATGCAATAGGTCTACTATATTTGGTGTATGGAAGGATTGTAAGGTGTACATGTCCAACTGGCAGGTGTCATCTGACCTTGACCTCATTTTCATGGTTCAGTGGTTATAGTTAAGTTTTTGTGTTTTGGTCTGTTTTTCTTATACTGTATGCAATAGGTCTACTATATTTGGTGTATGGAAGGACTATAAGGTGTACATGTCTAGCTGGCAGGTGTCATCTGACCTTGACCTCATTTTCATGGTTCAGTGGTTATAGTTAAGTTTTTGTGTTTTGGTCTGTTTTTCTTATACTGTATGCAATAGGTCTACTATATTTGGTGTATGGATAGTAAGGTGTACATGTCTAGCTGGCAGGTGTCATCTGACCTTGACCTCATTTTCATGGTTCAGTGGTTATAGTTAAGTTTTTGTGTTTTGGTCTGTTTTTCTTATACTGTATGCAATAGGTCTACTATATTTGTTGTATGGAAGAATTGTTAGCTGTACATGCCTGCCTAGCATGGTTCATCTGACCTTGACCTCATTTTCATGGTTCATTGGTCAATGTTTAGTTTACTTGGTTAATGTTAAGTTTATGTGACAGTTGTAATAAAGCTTTATATTTAGGACTATCAACATAATATCAATGATTAGTAAAGAAGGCGAGACATTTCAGCGTGTGCACTCTTGTTTTTAAATATCAAGTATTTTTAAAATTGGAGTTATCTTTCTTTGTCCATGATAATAGTTGAATCAACTACAATCAATGCTTTATACAATGCAAAGTTTAATTTTACCTTCCACTGATAAATTAAAGCAATTTTTACCCTTCATTTCTAAAAATATTTTAAAGTCTTCTTTGAATATTGGAGTTATCTGTCTTTGTGCATAATAGTAGTTAAATCAACTACAACCAATGCTTTATACAATGCAATATTCAATTTTACTTCCTACTGATAAGTTTAGGTTACACGATACTGAATGACATTACGCCACGAGTTATCGTTCCTGCTGTTGTCGACATCTTTGAAAATATTGACGGCAAACGTAAAGCCTGATGTTTTATAATAACTTAGAACGAATTAAACAAACAATTTGCCTCAGTCTGGTATAAAGTAGTTGAAAGATAAATGTTTCTTTATTTCAAATTTGCAAATATATATGATTATATATTAAAAAAACCTTCATTTTAACGCTGCTTTCTATACGGATCATATTCAATCACCAAACAAAAACCTTTGCATAATTACGATTCAAATAAAAGAACAAAAATGAGAAAAAGAAAATCACACTTAGGTGAAATATAAATAGTAAATTAACCTTTTATTTTTATTAACATTTTTAATAGTAACTTTGCATAGATGCAGAATGTCGAGGGATTTGATGCAATACGTTATTTGAAATTGATTGTTTCGGCGTCTTCCTCCCATTCTTCTTCTCATTCTTCACATTTAAATATATACTTTTTATATGTTCTGTTTCTATTGATAAGTAAGCATGTGTACGATTAATCTATATATGTTCTTATGCATAACAGACTGAGCTTTTTATTCTGGGTTGAAAGTAGATATCCAAATTATAGAAACGCATGATAATGTATGAAAATACGGGGAATTGTACCACAATTAATGCAATTCCGCTATGAAGCCCATTCGTTTTTAAATGGTCACCGAAAAACGTCGCTAGCAAAATAGAAAAAGGAAATTTATTTGGAAAAGAATACCTATAGCATTTAGCGAGAAAAAACATTCAAGCAGATGTACAAACTCATACAGAAACTGGTTTATTGGCATGGAATGAAAAAAGAAGAGTTGTTGAAATTGGCTATTTGGCCGAACAACATTCCCTATGTTTCAAGTGTAAACAGTATTTGAAATTTATTGGACTGTACAGAAGAAATCCGATATGGTTTCGGAAGCTGGTTTAAAACAAATTACTAGCATTGTAATTTTATAAGCACAGTCTAAACAGGACAGCTACATCGGAATTAGGAGAAAGTTAACAAAGGCTTAAACATATGGAATGTCAACACTAAATGCGCACTCGGTTAGGTCGAAATAAAATTTAATCATTCAGATCCCGTTACATCTTTTTCTTTCAATTCCATTCTGAAATAAATTATTTCTCGAAATTTACAATCAAACGAATAATTAAAAACCTGTGGCCCCACAATGATTGAATGATCGGTGCTTCGATGAAGGTTAATCCAGAAAAGCATTTCGACCGCAAACAAGCTACAAAACGATATTTTCATTAACCCATTTTATTCAAACGGCAAAAACAAACTGATAAAAAAAAAACAGTTCCAATGCCCCCACCCCACCCCCTCCTGCGTTGTACATATTGTATCTGTCAATGGCCATTATAACTTTAAAAAAAAAATTGTTTGTTCTTTGATTGAATTTTTTATAAATATCGTGAATAGAGAAATGCAGATTTGAGAGCAAATGCAATGAAATTTCCGATATAATTATTATTTCCAAGGGGCATAACTCTTTTAAAAATATTTGATCAGTACTGACCTTCGAAATTATCCAAGACAATGCTGATATAAACCTTTAATATAGATTTTTCAAAGATCTGGCAAAAATTGTACACGTGAGAGCGCTTAAAAATGCAACTTCCAATCTATTAATTAATGTATCCAAGGGGCATGGCTCTTTCAAAAATAATTGATCGGCATTGATTTTAAAACTTGTCAACGAAAATGCTGATATAAACCTAATATATAAGCTTTATAAAAATCAGGCAAGAATTGTACACGTCAGAGAGCTAACAAGACCGGACAGACAGACGAACAGACGGAAGAACGGACGCCCGGTATTTGTATGTCCACCACAACGCGCGCGCGGGGACAAAAATCCAACAAGATCTTAAAATCAATTTTATTTTAGATTCATATTAATTTGCACTTTGTCTTCGGGGAGGGGTGTGTTTTGGGTGTTTTGAGTTGGACATGATGTACAGATACAGCTGATAAAAACGCACCTTTTCACAAAGTGGGGAGACAAAACAACTCACAGACGATTAGCAAAGGTGCCTTTGGGGGGATGGGCATATTGCTCACATAGTCGTCGGGAAAAGCCCGACCGAGATACTTCGCAGTCTTAAAAGGAGTTTTTACAACAAGTATACAAATGTTTATGTGAATTAAAAGGGTCATATTTTTCTTTGTGTGCATAAATGGAAATATGGGATATACAATAAAACAGCAAATAGCCAATTAACGACACACAAAACCAAAGACATTTATATAACACCTGACTAATGCAGGATGGACGAGTATTTTTTGAATGCTAATTTGTAGTTTTAGTGAAGATTCGTTTGTCCCTTGAATTGGAAAGTTAATAAGTATATTTAGTATGGCAAGTATTAAATCTATCAAATTATAACATCACATCTTCACAACAAAAGTCAGATTTTAACTATAACAGCAACATATTTCAGTCTCCTAGTACGTATTTGTTGGTCTTTAAATTTCTTGTATTTTAGGAGAAAACTCAATCGCTTATGAAATAAGGAGATGTGGTATGATTGCCAATTAGACAACTTTCCATTAAAGACCAAATGACGTAGATGTTAGCTTGCTTACGTTGCTACAATTGAGATCTCCATATTACCATTCCATTATGAACTGCTTATTCAAAAAGATATTTTGTCACCAAATGATTTATAAAATAGAACATCATCATATATGCTAATATATATTTTGCTCCCTTGACAAAATGCTGGGAGCATATTGTTTTACCTGTGTCCTTCGACAGTCCGTCCCTTACTTGGTATATAGAGTTTATACGGCTATTCTTTTTAGGATTACAGTTTTAAAGCTTTAACTTTTAAATTATGTACTTGGTGTTAGTACATATACAATACGCGCATCTTGTCAGATTTTAATTTTTTTATTACAGGTTGCTGAATTTGGCATTTTGATAATATATTGCACCAAGTTTTTTGTTTACCTATATTGCATGTATATTCTCAGGATCACTTTTTTTTAATAATTTTCCACGAATGACAGCGCGCAGAATATTGAACTTTGTCTATTCAAGTGAAATTTTGCATACAGTTTGCAAGGTTTGTCCGACTAACTACGCACACAACCCACACGTTTACATCATACAGAGTATACTATATTTATAGAATACGTATTTTATCAGGATGTTGATTTTCTTTATAATTTTCACAACTAACAGAATGTGTAATCTTTTTTGACGGCTGCATCAAATGTGTCTTTTAGACATAACTTTTCAAATTGTATTGTATCGTCCTGAAAATCCATGAAATATTTGCCACTGGACGTTAAGCAACCATCAATCAATTAATTCAAATTGTACTTCAATATCACTGTTTACATAAAATTTTTGAAGCACTTTATTTTATTCATGCATGGATACATCGGTGTCATCAGCATTGTCTAGTTTGGTAGGGTTAAGTAAAGTTGAAGATTCAGTTTTGAAATCTAAAAGTGCACCCAGTTAGGACGAAATAAAATTAACTCATTAGAATGTTATATTGAATTATTAGGAAATTTCCGACAGGGGGAATGAAAATAAAATAACAAACACCATTCAGATCCCGTTACATTTTTTTTTTCAATCCCTCTGAATAAAAATAACGTTATTCTGTATTCCGTAACGTCACATATTTTTGTCAATTTCTAAGCGTATCGGTCATCTTTGAAGCGATTTATCTAAAAAACAAGGATGGTGACATATGTTTTTTTATACATGTATGGATTTGGTGTACAATCCTGGATATTATGTTAGTTTTTAGTCTTTCTCCGTATATGAGAAAATAGTCATCCATTGAAAAATCTAGAATAGTAAGTTGAAAAAAAGGCATTTTCCCTATATATCTATGTAAATTTGGCGCCAAAATTGACATTTACTTATCAAAATTACAAAAAAAACAAGAATGGTGACCCCCATTTTTTATTTCATATTCCGATGTAACTCGATTCAAAGTACCAGTGTGCCAAAAAGTTTAGAAATCGGGAGATATGCCATTCGGTATCGTGTTACCTTAAGGCAATCTTTACCATTCAGTGCTTACAAGCACTTTGATTATTGTTCTAGAGTTATTCCCATTTACAAATGAAAAAATTGCTGAATTTTTAGTTTCCGTTCTCTAACTTGAGTTTGTCTTAAATTAATGTAATGAAATGTATATATAATGCTTTTTACCACAAAACTCAGTTTAATTTGTTTCCGTTCTCTAACTTTAGTTTGCCTCTACCAAATGTTATGAGACTTATACACAATGCTTATTACCACTAAATACAGATCAAGTTTGAAATTGGGTGGTGTCACTTTTACCGTTCCTTAGTTATGCCCCTTTATAAACATAAAAATTGCTGAATTTTCCGTTTCCATTCTCTAACTTTAGTTTGCCTCAACCAAATGTTATGAAACTTATACACAAAGCTTATTACCACTTTATACAGATCTAGTTAGAAATTGGGTGGTGTCACTTTTACTGTTCTTGAGTTATGCCCCTTTATAAACATAAGAATTGCTGAATTATTTCCGTTCTCTAACTTCAGTTTACCTCAACCAAATGTTATGAGACTTATACACAATGCTTATTACCACAAAACTCAGATCAAGTACAAATTTAGGTTGAGTCACTTTTATCGTTCTTTAGTTATGTCCCTTTATATCTTTATATGATATGCAAGCGGGGGCATCATCTGTGTCCATGCATGGACACAATCCACATTTATTTGTCAATAATAAGATAACAGATCTTCAATATGGATGCAAACATGAAAATGAATTCTTTTTGTTTATGAATTTTGTTTACAGGAATGAATGAAGGAAATTGTGATGATAACCATAACCAAACAGTGGCACTGCCTATGCCCTCTATCAAAACTGCTCGTCCCTCATTGGCCAAAATAATACTGTCTCAGGAATCAGATGCTGCCAAACAGCTAGCCCTGAACCATGTATTAACAGCATTACAAATTATTTATGCAAGGTAAGTTATTGATAGTGTCAAAATCATGTGTTTACAACCTTATATGTATTGTTACTTTTAACTAACATTTGATTTTGATTTTTGGTGTTTTAACGCCACTTTTAAGCACCGCTTTTGGACTATTTTGTGGCGGCCAGTTTTTATTGGTGGAGGAAGCCGGAGTGCCTGGAGAAAACCACCGACCTTCGATAGGAAAACTGACAATCCTAGTCAATTCAGATTGGAGTCGAGTGCACCCGCACGAGCAGGGTTCGAACTCACAACCTCAGTGTTGACTGGCTAGTGATTACAGTAGTAACTACTTAGACCACTCGGCCACCGAGGCCCCCTTTTAACTAACACCCTTCAAAGTATTCATGTTAGGAAAAAAAGTAAGGGAGGGTTGGACACCACATGATATTTTTTCTGAGAGTAATAAATGTGAAAAGCAAAAACAATTTTGTATAAATGAAACTAAAAATTGATTATTATGGGATAAAAAAAGTGCTTATCCAAAATCCCCCCCCCCCTCCCCCCCAATCCCATCTCTACATTTTTTCCTGGAATGGCCATTAGGTATTTTTATATATAACGATAATATAGTTCAAATTTAATAAGTAACTTAATTAACTTCTACTATCTTATTTACTCCTTCAAACATTACAGTACATCAGAGAAATACTTGTCCCTTAAGTGATAGAAATGTCTTAGAATGTGTTATAGTGTGTTTTTTTTTTTCAACAGGGAAGCAGTTGTCAGTTCTTTAACTAGAGAAATTCAAGCTGTACCAGTAACATCAGAAACCTTACAGAACCCTATCACTATGTCTAACATTACACTAGAGGACAATTCATCTGCAGTATCCCCTGAACCAGACACATCAACAACAGAACCACCAGAGGTATAAGTTCTATGCATTCTAAACATTTAGATTTTTTTATACCCCTGCTTTAAAAAAGTGGGGGTATACTGTTTTACCTCTGTCTGTCCGTCCATCTGTTAGTCCGTCCATCCGTCCCATGAATATTTTTCATCGCATCTTTCTCAGGAACTACATCAGAAGGATTTATATAAGTCAGCTATACCGTGTGATGCGTTTTCAGATTCATCACTCAACAACTTCCTGTTTACCGAACACTTACATATTTTTACACTATTAAATTATCTGGTTGCGGCGGGGTATCATCAGTGAGCAGTAGCTCGCAGTTTTCCCTTGTAAAGAATTTTTGTCTAAAAATCAATGTGGTTAGTATTTAAGAAAAATTAATGTGTTTCATACTACAAAATTTTCATTGTGTTTAATATATTACAAAAAATGATTGTGTTTAATATTTAAAAAAAAATGATTGTGTTTAATATTTCAAAAAAAACGATTGTTTAATATTTATAACAAAACAAAATTTGTGTTTGTTTTTACCAAAAAAAAAACAAACATTTCTACACTAAAAAAAAATCATTGGGTTTTATATTTTAAACCAGATCCTGGTGTTTATAGTACATGGACACATTCATTATTGAGATAAGAACCAAATACAGTTTAGTCTGTTTGTTAAAAAATGACAGTATCATTCTTATAATTATGTCGTCTGTTTTAGATTATTTCCCATACACTGCAACAAGGATATCGTTATAAGGCATTGTATTGAGATACTCAAAAACAATTATAAATAATTTTATTCTGTTTTTAGCACCCTTACGGAGACCATTTTACATTTCCCAGCATGCATAGCTTAGCCTTCAAGGTTTCCCCAGCAACCAGCATTATGGTGGAAACTTTCACATCAACAGATGAAGTAACCAGTACAATAGACACAATCAACACAGCCTATCCTCCAGGATTAGATGATTTCACTAACAAACTGACAGCTGATGATGCTAGGGTCCTTGTAGACTTGCTGAAGTTGTCTGTAGCATTGAGAGTTGGTGAGAAAGGAAAAGAAAGCTTGTCTGACATTCTGACTTGTCTGGGAAAGGCTTATCCTTCTGTAAGTTTTTCACTCTTGACGTCTCAAACTTATTTATGTAACTAATTGCACCTCCTGCAAACAAAGTTTTTGTTGTTATTTTTTAAGGGGGGAGGAGGGAATGGTATATAGTAATCAAACTTCCCATTCATCTATCTGCCTGTCTGTCCATGTGCCTTGTAAGCACAACTCCTAAACAGCTAGACAGATATTGACAAAACTTAATACAGTGAAAGAATAAGTACTGCCTGAGGATATGCAAGAAGGAATATCATTCCAGTTGCACATGTTGAATGGGAGATAATCAAATTTACTTACTTCAATATTGTCTAGTGAGGCTTGGGGTATCCTTTTGTGAGTTCACTCATAGATCTAGTTTTGAACAGTTTACATATGCATTTGTGAGAAAACACTTTGAAATCTTGTCAATGGTGGAATATTAAAAAAATTCAAAAAAGTGTTGTCAATTATCTGATTCTTTTATCCCTTCATACAAATTTTTGGGGGGTTGAAAAACTACTTGTATTGCCACTGAAGATGATTTACACAGAAACATTGTCAGTTTATGGACTGTTAACTAACTGATATATAAGTCAAAATATTCTCCACTGTTTTACTTTGTTAAAGGTTGCTGAAATGTTATTAGAGTTATGTGTGACTGAATTGGAAGATGTTGCCTCAGACAGAGAAACTGGTAGGGTAGCAGCTAAACCTGTTGTACAAGAAAGTACACATCCATATACAGATGACACATCATTAACAGGTCATGTTAAAATTCCAGGTAAGTCAACTAAACCATCAGTAGTCATTTGTCCTGTCATGGTGTGCATACTGGAAACAGAATATTTTTGCAATATCAATAGATGACTTTTTCATGCTGGGGTTAAATTCTTGCATTGAATGATAAACGAGCCCTTTGCATCAATATTGTTGCTTTGTACAAACTTTGTGTTTGTCAGATAATTTTGAGTATTTTACTCTATTGCGAAATAAGGGAAAATAACCCCAGACAATAATTTCCAAGTTGTGATGATTTCTGATAACAATATTATCTATATATTTTGGTCTCCAATTGGTTTAACTTTAAGTAGTTCATCTATAGTTATCACTAGCCTGTCACTTAAGTTATGAGTTTAAACCCTGCTCTTAGCAAGGTGAGTTTGACTCCGATCTTAATTGACTAGGCTTGCCATTTTTCCTGCTGAAGGTTGGTGGTTCTCTATTGCTACTTTAATTTTCTCCACCAATAAAAACTGGCTGCCATGAAATAGCCAAGTGTGTTGCAAGTGGTTTTAAACACCAACAATCAATCAATCATTCAATCTTGGTTAAGACACAGAAAAAGTTATTTGATGAGAAATTATAGTATCATGCGTAAATAAATAAGTATCGTTTATTTTACATATTTCTGATGGGAAAGTTCAAACTTTCAGGTGCTGAAGCTTTGAGAGTAGAGTTTGATCGTCGCTGTTCCACAGAAAGACGACATGATCCACTGACAATAATGGATGGATCTGGTCATACAGTTTCCGTCAGATCAGGTAAATTGTTGCTATTTATGGTATACCTGTTTAGTTGTGATAACTGTTTCCTGTTTAAAAATTATTCTTTTAATAAGGTCTTTTTGTAATTTTTAACTAAATTCTGATATGAAGAGCATTTAAAAATTTGTAAAGCAATAAGAAAGAATGTATGATTTAGAAAATGAAGGAATATGATATTTAAAGAAAAGGAATACATTAGTTGATATGAATGAAAGGAATTGTGAGGTACATGTAAACATCAACAAGACAGCAACCCAGTTACATAAATCAACCAAAAGATATCTAGAGGTCTTAAAAATTATGATTGATATCCTCTTTAGCATAATTTAACAGTATTTACATGTAAAACTTTAAAGATAATATATTTGTGTTTAAACAGGAAGAGAATGGACTGACTGGTCACAGGAGCTGAGAATACCTGGAGACGAGTTACGATGGAAGTTTACCAGCGACGGATCTGTCAATGGATGGGGATGGTGCTTTACTGTTTATCCTATCATGCCATCAGCGACACCAATGGACATTTTATCTGATAGAACAATTCTGTCTCGTCCCTCTATAGATCTAGTCACATGTTTGTTAGATTTTAAATTAGATCTGAGTTTAGATAAGGAAGTAGTGAACAGACTGGCTGCTGCTTTAGCAGCTTGTGCTCAACTAAGCTCACTTGGTAAGTTCTTTTTACATATGTGATAAAACAATATTAAATATGTTAGCAAGGATGAGATTTTACAAATGAAGTAACTTTTATTATAGTACAAGACATCCTATCTTAAATTAAAGCTTATTTCTCTTAGTATGAGATTTCTTGATTTGGAAATTTTGAGATGCATTTTATCAGCATGAAATAGAAATAAGTATGATGAACAGTTTCTATATTAAAATTATGATGGCTATCTTGGACCTCAAATAATTTGTATAGATATACATGTACAGATGCAGTTTATTTATTTTGAAGAGAGATATTTTATCTCATTTTTTTTTAAAAGTACAGAAAAACTGTATTTTTTCAGAATAACAAAACAACAAAATATATATCTGTATAACTGTGATCAATTTGTTCAAAAAAACTTTCAAGAATAAATGCACCCAAGTCGTGAAAATTTCCGTATAAATTAAGATAAATTTTAGTTTAAAGATTTTTGTTAAAAAAAAAGATAATGAATTTTAATACAAAAATAAGGAGATGTAGTATGATTGCCAATGAGACAACTATCCACCAAAGTTCAAATGAAGTAGATATAAGCAATTACAGGCAACCGTAACTTTATTTTGTTTTGTTAGGTGCTGGACAATGAAATTTTAATTTATTTTGTTTTGTTAGGTGCTGGACAGAGAATGTGGGCATTACAGAAGCTAAGGACATTAATTAGTGCCAAATCTTCAGATCAGTCACTGAACATAAATGCTTTATTATCTAGTCCTAGTCCAGACACGCCTGATTCTGACACGGCACAGAAATCATATGTAAGAACTTATTAGATCAAAGCATTATACTTTTGTAGAATACCAGCAAAAAAATCTTTGTCAGTTATCTATAGTAGTACACATATTAACTCTTTCCAATAAGATAAAATCTATTTAGAGGCTGATGGTATCAGCTTTTCACAATTGTTAAAATCGGAGAGTATTCAGCACTTGCTAATAAAATAATTGAAAATGACTGAAAAATTATTATTTATGACGTAATGATTTGGATGTACAATAGGTATGATGTTTATCAAAAGTATTAGATTTCAATTGATTACATATTTGAAAAGATGAGTATCAGCTGTTGTAAATGTATCTAATTTTTATTCTAAATCAATGGTAAATTATTCATTTCGTTAGTATTAAATGTTAATTAATGGAAAATTGGTCATTTAATTAATATTAAAATTCTAAATCATCACTATTTAAATAACATGATCAATGTACAGCTGTTGTAAATGTATCAGATATACATTATGAATCAATTGTAAATTACTCATTTCTTTAGCATTAAATGATAATAAATGTTAAAATATGGTCATTTGATCGATATTAAAATTCTAAATCAATGGAAAATTAGTCATTTTATTTTTCTTGGTATAGAATTCTCAGTTTTAATGTACCATGAAATCCACACAAAAGTTGTATACCCTGCAAATAGTATTAGAGCAAAATCTGTCATTACCAAAGTTAGAAGATTTTGTTTTAATTATATATAGTTTTTTTTTATTTACATAGGATAAATTACTGAAAATATGCATCACATTAGTTTAGACAGGTTTCTCTTTAAGGAATTTTTCCAGTGATCTGGTTTATGTAAGGGGTGATTTTGACAGATTTCTGGTTTAAGGTTTCTAGTGTAAATGTGAAGTATGTGTGAATGAGACCGCTAAAAGACATCTAGAGGTCAACATATGGTCTTTAACAATAGAAAAGTGTCTATGCAAAATGTCAAGCTCTTAATCGCCAGGAGTGAAGAAAATGTGTGAATAGATTTAATTTAGACTATAAAAGATCTGGGATCAATACCTAGTTCTTAAATGAATGAAAACAACTTCTGCATGTAACAAATGACAACCACTCACAAGGTTTCAGTCTAGAATTGTAAATATTATGACTTGATATTATACTTTTGGTGCACAAACTTGATAAAATAATTGCTACCATTTTTAGGCTTTGAATGGGACTGCAGTACATTCACTAGTCCAGGGTTTACCAGAAGCTTTACAGAGACAATATGAATATGAAGATCCTATAGCCAGAAGTGGAAAACATTTAATGCATAGTCCGTTCTTTAAGGTAACATTATAAAACAGTCCCAAATGTAAAATGTTAAACCCTTGTATTATTTTTAATAATGAATGAAGAGTTGTATAAATACTTGATAATACAGATTATAACTGACACTTATATTTTAGAAAAGAGAACATCGATTTTGAGCATTGATTATTATATTTGTTTGAATAAAGTTATTTTACTTAAACTTTCTCTTTGATAAGACCAAGTTTTAAATTTCAATATTAATAAAGAAGATGGTTAGTGTGACGGGGAATTCAATAACACAGAAAAACTCACAAAAAAATTTTGAAGAGCAAAACATGTTCTTCAACAGTTTTAGACAATTATCTTTACCATGTATGTATATTTTGTAAATACTTTTGACAGGTGCTTGTAGCATTAGCTTGTGATTTAGGATTAGATACACTACCTTGTTGTACTGAGGCTCACAAATGGACATGGTTCAGACGATACTGTATGGCAGCAAGAGTTGCCATATCAATAGTCCATAGAACACAACTGCCAGTACCATTTGCTGATGAAGTTCGTAAAAAGATCCAAGATTTGGCTGCTGATGGTGAAGAAATGACTAGAAAACACGAGGACCATCAAATATTCAAAATAGAACAAGATGAACAATTGTTAATATGGCTAAATAGGTTTGTTTATACTTAATCTGCAAATATTTTACTGGCAAGACAAAGGTTGTTATCAAGAAAACAATTCTCATTTTCCACCTTGTATCACTAGATACATTTGATATTGTTTGTTTTAAATGGTTATTATGAAGGTAAGTTGAATTCATTAAGTTTATTCTAATACACACATATTCAGCCATATCAGGTGTAATGTTGAGAATTGCTTCTTTGTAAGAGTATACCTGTGTTAAGAGAGTTTTCCCTAGTTGTGATATTAGTAATGAGAGATCTGCTGTCTTAGAAATGATAACCAGATTGCTTTAAAGAAGTCAGTCAAATGATGATTTAAAGGTCTTTGGATGATATATACAAGGTAGTATATTGGAAAAATTAAATTCCCCATTAAGAGTAGTGAAATTATATTGATTTAATTCTCTTCTTAAATTTAATTTATTTTTTGTTGGAAGCAGATTTAATACATTTGCTGTACATTTTCCTGCAATATATTTTTTTTTAATTACAGGAAACCAGAAGACTGGACATTATCATGGGGAGGTAGTGGACAAATCTGGGGATGGGGTCATAACCACAGAGGTCAGCTTGGTGGAGTTGAAGGGGCAAAGGTCAAACTACCTGTCGGTTGTGAAGCATTAGCTACCCTTCGACCTGTACAGATGATTGGTGGAGAACAAACATTGTTTGCTGTTACTGCTGATGGCAAGGTAAAAAAAATGATGTCATTCTGTGGACTCATTATTATTCGTGGGATACCAATTTTGGGTACAGGTAAACTACGAATTCAAAATTTCAAAAGAAGTCAGATTTCTATAAGCTTTTATATATTGCATAAGTTAAATTTAGTTTTAAGTTTATCCATGAAAATTTTTCGTCCCTGTAATATATGTATATATATATCCTGTACACTTAAAAATACTTTGTGTATTGTGATTAGATGTCCTTGTTTAATACCTACGAGAAAATAACACCTCCTGAAACATAAGCAGATTTTTTATCAGGTATAGTTAGAGTAGGGAATAAGGCGTCTGCGCAATGCTAAGCAGTGTTGTCATAGAAGTGAGAAGTGAAAAGTACAGGTTCCAGCCCCGCTCAGGGAGAAAGTAAAGAATTAGGTCTACTCTAACATTGTTAGGTTGATTCTCTAGGCACTTTATATATATATAAGTCTAAATTGAAAACAACGTTCAAACCTATGATTGCGTTGGATAAAAACCGCAATTTTTATACGGGTGCATGCAAAACAAATTTCTTGGTAGAGGGGTCTAAATACAGCACAAACAACATTTTCCAAAAGACCAAAAAAGTGAAAAAGTATATTTAAACAAAACGCATTTGACTAACTGGTCGAACAACGGATGTTCTTAAACCCTGCTGACTGCCATTGGCAATTGCCAAATAAACGGATCACAAGATGTAACAAAATGGATCTTTATTATAAATTTAATACCAGACAGAAAACAATAAACTTGCGGAAAAGATGGTATACCACAAACATGAGGTGCAAAAATTTGTACACCATATCCGGATTTCGACAATGAATGTCTCTTCAGTGATGTTAGGAATCGAAACAGTATTTGGAAGGCCATATAATTTACCTCAATTTAGGATAGACTCTTGAATTTTGAAGAGTCAAAATAGGATGAACGGATCATATAAACCCGAAGCCAAATATAATACAAGCCCAAACGAAAAAATATAAACAAGTCTAAATTGAAAACAACATTCAAACCTATGATTGCGTTGGATAAAAACCGCAATTTTTATACGTGTGCATGCAAAACAAATTTCTTGGTAGAGGGGTCTAAATACAGCACAAACAACATTTTATATAAAATCTAAAGATTTGCACAACGGTACTAATAAGATCTTATATTATTACCGTTGTGCAAATCTTTAGACTTATATATAATTTTTTCCATATCTGCACAGCATCATCTATTCTAGAGGATCCGGTACATATTAAATTTGCTGGTTGGTCCTTTTTATAGACTTCTATATATATAATTGTATATATATGTAGTTTGGTTTTGATAGATAATGAACAGTGTAGATAGAAAAGCATTTCCAGATATAGGAAAATTGTTGGGCTGAAAAAGAAAAAAAAGGAGAAAAAAAACGTCTTATATATAAGTCTACAGTTGTGCATAATACGTGTACCAACTAATGTCTAGGGCAAAATAGTGCATATTATACATGCCCAAATATGGTAATTGCATATATATTTTTGGGTAAGGAATGCATGAATTGCAATCAAAACCATATGGTACTGACTTGATATCTAAATCTTCCAAGTTTTATCACTACTTTTGAGATACACAAAATATAGTGCATTGATCATAACATTCTAAACATCCTACCCATGAACATTTTCAGAAATTCATCAATAAAATATATGCTCAGATACTGAAGTTACAAAACGATGTTATACTTGCATCACTTGTGCAAGGTGCAGGAATCTAATATCTGTTCTAAAAATATCAATGATGTCATTGTTAAAGTAATCTTTAATTTAGGTATATGCTACTGGATATGGAGCTATAGGTAGACTTGGTATTGGTGGAACAGATTCCGTAGCACATCCTACATTATTAGAATCCATACAACATGTGTTTATAAAGAAGTTAGCTGTTAACTCCGGTGGTAAACATTGTCTAGCTTTGTCAGCTGATGGAGAAGTTTACTCCTGGGGAGAAGGAGAAGATGGTAAACTTGGTCATGGAAATAGATGGTGAGTATGAGTACACTTTAAGGTTTATAAAAAATATTCAAAGGGAGATAGGGAATAAGCCTTATGAATTTGGTTCTCATATGTCAAAGTTCAAGGTTGTTTTTCTTTGGGAAAGGGGGGGGATTGGTTTCAGTGTTCACATTTTTTAAAATTGAAGTACACCTTAAAGTCACTTTATTGGTCAGCACACATCAAAGTAATAATCTACAAATTACTGTTAAATTGAATGTGTTCTTTGTCCCTAAAACATACTATTTTACATTATTTAGATACAAAACAGACCATACATGGCACTCATTTTTTGCAAGTGTTTTCCCCACATCTGTTGGTAGTTCAAACTTTTTACTAGTTTTATTTATTTTCTAGTACATGTGATAGACCAAGAGTTATAGAATCTCTAAGAGGAAAAGAAGTGAATGACATTGCAGCAGGAGGTGCACACAGTGCTTGTATAACAGCCAATGGGGAGCTGTATACATGGGGCAAAGGTCGTTATGGCAGACTTGGTCATGGGGACAGTGAGGATCAATCAAAGCCAAAGTTGGTAGAGGCACTGAAAGGATACAGGGTAATTGATGTCGCATGTGGAAGTGGTGATGCTCAAACACTGTGTATTACAGATGATGATAACGTTTGGTCATGGGGTGATGGAGATTATGGAAAATTAGGTAATTTCCATTAGACAATATGAACCAGGGACATGCTACTGTAAACATGTTCCCTATATACTCTCTGTAGTCAGCTTACCTGTTTATTTATTTGCTACGTAAACAAAACATGCCAGAGTAGGGTTTGGCACCATTTAAAAAGAAAGATAAATATACATGTAGTTAAACTTGTAGTAATTTTGGCATCTAAGTTTGACTTTATGTGAAAAATATTTCATAAAAGAAGGTAGACCCAAAATATCATGAAATACTATGAAATTATCTTTAAAAAATAAAAACAAGACATACTGATTTTTTCCCCCTAGGTCGAGGTGGTAGTGATGGTTGTAAGATACCTATGAAGATAGATGCACTTTATGGACAAGGGGTTAGCAAAGTAGAATGTGGGTCTCAGTTCTCTGTAGCATTAACCAGAGCAGGTGCTGTGTATACATGGTGAGTACCATTTAAAAAGTTCCTTTGGGTCGAGATTATTTAATTTAAAATGCAAAACAATTCATCTGTTTCATTTATAATTTTTCAATTGGCAATTTTGTCAATCATGGTAACAAAAAAAAATGTGAATATTTCTGTTTGAAAACTTTTCTTTAAGTTAAAATAAATAAAAACCACATCCGCTAAATAAAGCTAAGATTATTATGTATGCTGTGTACTTTTATTACAGGGGTAAGGGAGATTACCACAGATTAGGACATGGTACAGATGATCATGTGAGACGGCCTAGACGTGTGTCAGCATTACAAGGGAAGAAGGTGATAGATATAGCCTGTGGATCTCTGCACTGTGTAGCATGTACTGATGCAGGTAAAAAATCCATGCAGATAATGTTATCTCAATGTATTTAATGTAGTTCGTTAGCAGCAACTTTAACAGTGATCAGTTGTTGTGTGAGTGCTTTTCAGATCTCTCAGACACCTACTTCGTGTTTTCCAATTCTTTGAATTATTAGTAGGGATATGCTTAGCACAACAATGTGTACAACATCTTGTTTGTATTTAAAAAAATAATAAAAGTAGAGATTTAAATCTAGCAAAGTCATTGCGTATTTTTTTTGACTACTGGTCAGGAACGAAACTGTTACAATATGTAATTTGAATCATGAGTCTGATCATTTAGATTGTCTGCTCCTATGAAAAGTGTAGTATTTTATTTTAGACATTCATTTCAAAACTGGTTTATTGACCAATATGTAAGTGTCAGTTATTATCATGAATTAAAAAGTTTATTTCTTTGTTTTGGCTGTATACAGGAAACTTTCATTTTAGATACACATTTGTAGACATAAAATGTTTTTTGGACAAATTACAGGTGAGGTGTACACTTGGGGTGACAATGATGAAGGCCAGGTAGGAGATGGTACAACTAATGCTATACAGAGACCTAGATTGGTTGCTGCATTAACAGGTATTTGATCTTCTTTGATTGGTATTTGGGATGCACCTATTTATTTAGGATTTAAAGAGATACAATCATCCATTATTGAAAAATAGAGAAAGTGCATTTCAGAGAAGAAAATTGAGTAATTGGCATAGTTTGCATGCTATTGGTTAGCAGTGCCAACTTTTGGTTTTGCTTCCAAATATTCACTTATTAGTATTTGTTTTGAAATCATTATCTAGAATACAAACTCCTTTCACAACTTTGAAATTAAAAGCAAAATTTTTTATCAGAACTCTGATGAATCTTGTTAATTTGAATTGGAATGTAAACAGGACTTCGTACTGTTAATCCTTACAAAATATTCCTGAAATCCATAAATTTTGGATAAGATGAGGTATATTTTTAATCTCTTTGAATTTGATGTAATTAGATACAGTTATGTTCCCAAAGGTGAAGAAATCTAAAGTATATGGAGCTGGAATATGTGAATTGACATGATCAGAACTGGAAACAGCAAGATTATTATGGTTTTTTTTATTTTGTAGGCAAGAAGATAAACAGAGTAGCATGTGGATCTGCACATAGTTTGGCCTGGTCAACAAATAAGCCAGTAAATGCTGGTAAAATTCCCACATTAATACCAATGGAGTACAACCAACTACAGAATATATCAATTATTGTCCTACGTAATAGATTAGTATTACTTCATCACTTCTCTGATCTCTTTTGTCCTTCCATTCCAATGTTTGACCTTCAGGATAAACCTGAACCAGAATATCTGGAGGAGAATACCACTGGCTTAAATAAACTGAGAGGCATTTTAGTGTCGTCTGCAAAAGAAACTGCATTTAGGAAAGTTGTGCAAGCTACAATGGTCCGGGACAAACAACATGGACCAGTAGTGGAATTAAACAGAATTCAGGTTTGTACATTCTGTCAAGAATAATATATACATGTCATTGAAAGGTGATATGGTCTCGTGAATTGTTCATTTTAAAATCTAAAGAATTGTAGGTAATATCATTGTTTGAACACTAAAATGAACATAAGAATACCATTGGATGAAAATCCTTTGTACAGGACATTTATAACAATCACAGCAAGTATTGCCCAGAATGCATTAGATTCTATAGCGATGAATCATAATACTATCAGTAATTACATTTAATGTATGAAATATGTTGATTGGTACACACTGACAGATGTTTTACTGTTAAAAAAAAAATATTCGCTTTTTCGGATAGTGGACATAATTTCTGAATTAAAAATCTTTTAGGATATACATTTTGTATTAAATTGATTTTATCTGTCCAGGTGAAACGTGCTAGAGGTAAAGGTGGATTAGCAGGTCCAGATGGTTCTAAATCAGTGTTTGGACAGTTAGCTGCTAAACAAGCTGTGTTTAATGCTGATAGTCTCATGCTACCACACAGGGTATGGAAAGTCAAATTTGTTGGTAAGTGTCATATATTTAGTTTTTCTCCATTAAAATCAAGGAGAGTCAATTAGGACTATTTTTGCCCATGAAATTGCAGTTTTAAAGAACTACTAACAAATTTGCACATAATATATAGTGACATGCATACAATCAATATATATACAATTTATATAAGATAAGATTTTCAATGTGATGAGTAATTAATAATGTCAAGAAATAACAAAATATTAAAGAGTAGGTTTCTGATAGCTTTTCACATGATATAAAGTGGTTTCTTGGGTGTGCACATATTAATAAAAGTTAATACCAAACAAGTAAATTCAAGAAAATTTGAAATATATGATATAAGGCACATTTCATTTGGAAATGGTAATGAGAGATAAGGAATTTAAATGACAAACTCCAATAAAAATAATTTTAAATATTACCACTCTCAAAGATGATAACCAAGCACTTGCTTATAATAAGAATATCTTTATAGTCACAGTAAGTTGTCAATTGCAGTTCCATTGCTGATACCCCAAAATGGAAATAGCGTTACATCGTTGGTTGAAATTCCATTGTTTATGACCTATTTAACCACTCACAAATTATTGGTGTATGCTTTTAAAAAATATTACCCAGATTGCATTTGATTCTCAAACAGTGTAGTATTAAGCTAAATGTTGTTATGTAGGAGAGAGTGTTGATGATTGTGGTGGTGGCTACAGTGAGTCTATAGCTGAGATGTGTGATGAGTTACAGAATGGATCCCTCAACCTACTCATAGTCACACCTAATGGTCGCGGTGAATCAGGAGCAAATAGAGACTGTTATCTACTCAACCCAATGTTAAAAGGGCATCAACATATCAACATGTTCAGGTTTCTTGGTAAGTCTTTTATTATTGTGTAAAGAAGTCCTATTAAATGTAATCTAAAATGTTTACATTACATGATGTTAAGAGAAATTATTAGTATAGGTAGTACAATAGTTTCTGATGTAAGACCTCTTCATTCATCAGCTTCACTTCATATAAGGGAAGTTTCATGGTACATTTAAGTTTAATTTCTTAGTAAATCATACTCTGACTTCAAGTCTCATTGCTTATTATGTGAAAGTGGTTGATTGATTGATTGCTGTCTACATTATGTCCAGTGGCAAATATTTTATGCATGTTTAGGACAACACTTGAGCATCACAGATAAACATTACTGGTACAATATTTAGCAGTAGCACTTTGATGATTACTCAATCCTGCATATTTCTTATAATGTTTACCGAGCTGTAATTGGTTGTTTTTTTTCAAACTTATAGACACTGCATTATACCATGGATTCTAAAGATCTAAGAATTTCTGTAGAAACTGTTTATATAACTTAACTTCATACAAGGGGACTTAGATACATTTGTATAACAGAAAATGATGATTGGTGTATTTTCAGGAATGTTGTTTGGTATAGCTATTAGAAGTGGAAGTCCCCTTAGTCTAAATATAGCTGAACCTGTGTGGAAACAATTAGCAGGAATGCCTGTACTTACTATAAGTGATCTGTCAGAGGTAGACAAAGATTTTATTCCAGGTAGGTATCTCTCTGTGAAGATCATTAATTAAAATATCAATATTCAATTTTTATCTCTTTTTTTATTACAAATATACTACTGTCTTGTATGCATTGTAGTAGTTGAGAAACGGATCTCTTCAAAAAATATTTATCTAACAAATGTAATTTGAAAATGAGATATAGGTCATATGGCTCACCACTGTCAAGACAGAGTAAGAAAGATTTTAAAATGCTTCTAAAGGTGAATTTCAACAAATGAAACAACCTTAAAAGTGAATTTTTGAAAGAATACATCTATACAAATAAGTATTGTAGAAAAATATTCTAATGGTGAATTAAGAATTACATACAACCTATTAATTATACATTTAATTTTAGGTCTGATGTTCATAAAAGAAATGGATGATGCAAGTTTGCGATCAGCAGAAATGCCATTTAGTATTCCAAGTGCTTCTGGACAGGAAATCCATCTTAGTTCTAAATATTCAAGAATAGCACCTGAGAATAAGGCTGAATATATCAGACTTGCAATGAATTATAGGTATGTTTTATCACTGTTACTTCAGATATGTTGCATTTTTTTGAATTATTGTGAATTAAGAATTGACAGTAGTTAAGATAGTGATATAATATCTTATTCGCTGATCAAGCCTGTTTATAACACATAACTTTGAATGAGACAACTATCCACAAGAGACCAAATGACATGGAATTCAGCAACTTTTATAAGCTTCCGTTTCTTTGGTGACATTTGATGACAGATATTTGTGATTTCAGATTACATGAGTTTGACGAGCAGGTGAAGTGGGTTAGAGAAGGTATGGCTAAGGTAGTCCCTGTTCCATTACTGTCACTGTTTACAGGGTTAGAATTAGAAACTATGGTGAGTATCTTTAATACATTGAATTTCTGTATTATTTACTGTTAAGTGTTTAGTTTTCGATTTCTAGTGCAGAACCTTTTCTCTTAGTTAAATTCTATTTTTCTTTAAAGAACAAATTTATTCAAGGGATACTTTCATGGTTAAAGCTTAAATGCAAAATAAGCAAAAAATAAACTCACACGCTTTGATTACTTTACACAAAAAGCATCTTTGAGTATCAGGTATATATATATAAAAATTTGAAAAAATTTATATTTTAAAGTTATCCCTCATAAAAAGTTGACCGTAAATGATTTTGGCTATTCTTCTTTAGCTCCGTTTTGGTCATATAGCCAGGGGCGGATCCAGGATTTTGAAAAGGGGGGGCGTAGTATTAAAGATCGCCGAACGGAGCGAGGCGAAAAAATTTTTGGACCCTTTTTTGGCTAAAAAACATAAAATAAGTGTAAAATGCATTTTATAGTTAAAGTGTAGGGTTTGGACATTTTTGGTGCCGTATTCTCTCCATTAATTGTCTATTATGAAATGATTGGATGGATCCAAAGCTTTGTACTATTTAATATATTTGATGAGGGATTTGTCAGTAAAAAATGGACATGGAAAATTCTCGTTTGTTGTATGGTTAGTTAGCATATCCTCACAGATTTCTTGTTGTAAACAAGATATACGGCTATTCAATGAAATTTACAATACGACCGACACGAAGAAAGACAAACAAGCAGTTTTTATCCAAATGTTTGGTTGAAATGTTTCAACCAACAAGGGAAGTGAGGGGTTCCAAATCAACCAAAGGCTACGAATGAGTCGGAAATGACAATGAAGTTGTGAATGACGGTCGACACATGGAGACATAGGCCACACCCAGCAGGCAGGTTGCAGTCGGGCCTTGAAAAAAAGTATTCAGTATATCAGTTCGGCGAAACAGACATTCCGGTCAGATATGGTATTCACATGAAACCCCCATCCCCCAAAAAAAAAATTACGCCCGTTTTTTATTCATCATGTTCATTTAATGCTAAATAATTTTGTTGAAAATATTTTTTTCTAATAGCAAAAAAGTGGACAAGATTATTGTTTTCAATCCAGATACGGCCAGAATTTTTGTTTAAGGCAAAAATCAGGGTCAGAATTTTTTCTCTAAAATATCTCAGACTGCCCCCTCTAATCAAATGGTCCGTACCTTAGATTTATATCTATATCTGGAGCTTACTGATTGGGGATCATTATTCCCCAATATAATAATATTGCTGTGGAACTTTTTTTTTCCTGAGAGTGTAATAGAGTATTACTTTCTGTTGGGTGGAATTGTGAAAGAGAAGTCAATACGTTCTTGCTCAATACTTTGTCGCTTTGAAGGCGTCATGCTTGTCATCCTCAGCCTAAGCAATGTGTTACTGTAATTGACTGTAAAATGACTGAGTGACGTTTTTTTCGACGTACTAGTCAACTCCACCGTAGCGAATCACTTGACTTTGACATAATCAATAATATATTACAGTAAATACGTTCAAAAAATATATTTATAAGTAAAGAATTGTCGTATAAAAATTAAATACACGGGAAATGGCAAAGTTCGCGATGTCTAGTCTGATTAATCATTTTACAAAAAAAAAAACAGAAAAATGTGCAAGCAAAGGGGGGGGGGGGGGGGGGGCGTACGCCCTCTACGCCCCCCTCTGGATCCGCCACTGATAGCTCCTGTATTTATACATATTGGCTTTCAAATTTTTGTTTTTGAGTGTTACTGATGAAGGTAAATCCAGAAAAGAGATTAGAAACAAACGAAATTTTAAATATATCAAATGTAATTTTCACTTTATAGGTGTGTGGCAGTCCTGACATTCCATTGAATTTGCTCAAGTCTGTAGCTACATATAAAGGAATAGAAGCAATAGCGCCATTAATACAGTGGTTCTGGGAAGTTATGGAGGAACTCTCAAACAATGAAAGGTCCTTATTCCTTAGATTTGTTTGGGGACGGACAAGACTTCCAAGGACTATTGCAGATTTTAGAGGCAGAGATTTTGTACTTCAGGTAAATAGTCAGCTTATTGTTTATTTTGAATATAAAATGTTTAATCTAAAGAAAAAATATTAATCAGGTTAAAAAGAAAATAAAATTTGATTGAAGAAAGGGGGGGTGGGAGACAAAAAATAGGTGGGAGAGAAAAAAGATTCTAAAAGTGGGAGGTGGGAGATAGGGGGGTGGGAGGTGGGAGAAGGGTACACCCTGTCCACCCCCTCATGTTATATATAAAAAAAAAATTGGGGGGAAAATCTAGATATAAGAATGCCAGAAATTCATGTCATACAAACTATAAATCTTTTGTCAGTACAAGGCATATACCAGGGTTTCTGCACCCTTACTTTACACACAGTTTAATTTAACATTAGAATAAAACTATTGCAACAACTATAAAGTGAATATAAAAAGCAATTAAAAAATCAAGACTATAAAATCAGAAATCAAAGCAAAGACCAGTCTATAAATAAAAATGTTTCAAATGTTTCAGGTAAACTGCTCTTTGATTTAAAACTATGATTGTCAAAAGTACTTCACTATAAGAAAGTTATGATATATTCTTTGCAGGTATTAGACAAGTACAGTCCACCAGACCATTTCTTGCCAGAAAGTTATACATGTTTCTTCTTGTTAAAAATGCCTAGATACTCATGTAAATCAGTGTTACAAGAGAAACTTAAATATGCCATACATTTCTGTAAGTCTATTGACACTGACGATTATGCTCGTGTAGCATTGACTGGAGAAATGATCGGTGATGTGGACACGCCAGATGTTAGTGATGAGTCTGAGGATATTGATAGTATGGAATCTGATGGAGAAATTATTGACGATATGGATGACTTTTAATTTATTTCAAATTGAGAAGTTTTAAAGTGAAAAATTTGTCTTTTTATAGTGAGCTTATGGATCTGATATTCATGGTGGAAAGTGAATCCTTTCTTGTAAATTTCATAATTTTTACTAGAAATATGATATACATCTAAAGTTTCATCATCAACAATGATACAATTTTGTACCATTTTTCAATAGCTGTCAACAAAATAGGAGTAGCAGAAGATTAGGAGGTTATTTCTTGAATTTGAACAAAGAAGTCATGTATTGGTGAATTTCAGCATTACTGAGACCCAGTTGGTTCATCACTTAACAGTTATATCAAATAAACTTAGTCAAACATAAGTTAAGTTCGTTTATTGTGGTTCCAAGATTCCTTCCTTAAAGGGAACTTAAATTGTTTACCTATGGAATTTTCAATGCTAAAGGGAAATAACTCTCTTGGCAAGGTTTCCTTAAATTGGGTGTTATGAATCTAGATGCTTTATCCATGCAAAAAGTTATTGAAAAATCTTTCAAACAATTATTTTGAAGTTTAAGAAGTAATGAAAAGTATTTGTTTGGCATTTTAAAATTGTTTGCTTTTTAAAGGTTACTTGGTATATAATTATTTCTTATTGTTTATTGGACAACTTGAGAAAAATAAATATATATAAAAAAAAAATGAATAAATATTCCAATATCTATAACACAACATGAGGTGAAAATACTGTAGTTATCTGGGTATTTTGTTTATTTATTAGGTGCATTGTCAATGCAGAAAACAAAAAAAAATATTTCTTAATTGATACCCATTAAATGATAGTAAAATAAAACCTGATAATATTGCTTTGTAAATAACTTTGATACATGACACTGCATCAGAATGTTGTGATATAATTTGTCCAAATTTTTGTCCTGCCATTAAGACAGTAACACATGAAGTTACAAATACCAGTATTATTAAGTTATGCTTTCAGTTTTGTGATAGTGCCTCATCAGATGTATCTGTATAGATATTTGTTGTTAGTGCTATTTGTGATCAGTTTTTCTGGAAGAATTATTAGAACAAGCAGAATTTTATTTTTATGAATGTAAAAGTAGAATGATATTCTTAAAGAAGATCCACCTAAGATAACTAAGAACTAATAGACCCAACAAAATTTAGTTGAAAAAAAATAAATGATATTTTACAGTTTCTTTTGAACTGTTTTATATCTTGAATTTTACATGTGAAAATGATAAAGTTGTTGTTATCAATTTGTTTTAAAGTGAATTTACTTTGTTTTTAATTGTGCAAACTATATATGATGACATAGTTGCAATTGGGTAGCTACAAGCAGAATATCATAAAATAAATTGGAACTGCATACTGCAAATACATCACATGACAGTTTCATGTACACAAAATATTTCATGACGTAAGTTTTTTATACAAGACATTTAAACCTCAGTTTGCTCAAAACTGATCAAGAGGTGTTAAAAATTATGTCCATCTTTTATAACAGAACTGTTGTCTAATTAAAGTGCAGAGTTTTTAATTCATGCTTTGTTTAAAATACTGTTTTTTATAAAAAGCTCTGTTTTTTACGAAAAGCTCAAACCAAGATGGAGACTTACAAAAAAAGGATGCCTATTAAGGAATAGAATACTCATGGAATATCTGATGTAACATGAGCTGTGTGATACAATACATTTATATACTGTTGTCAATTGTTGAATCATGAATAAATTAGAATTAAAATATTTTTCGTTGGTTGCTACACTGTATTCTGTACCCCTTTCGAAACCTAATTCTCTGTACGAGTTATGATTAGAAACCCCTGTTACAAATGCCGATTCTAACCAAAACAAACTTACAGCTATCATCTCGGATATTGACTATCATAGACTTTTCAGACTGTTTGGCACAGATGACTCAGAGTCAAAAATCTTTCTGCCTGTGTAATTTAAAGATAAGTCTGTTCTGATGATCTTGTATACCTATATTGTATATATATTGCGACTAAAATTGTTCCGTTACAAACATGTTTTACAAGATTTAAAAATGTTGAAACTTCAAGCCTTAACACATTAGCAAGTTCCCCATTCCTATATAATTAGGGCCCCGCCCAATGGCGGACGCCCTATAGTGATCAGTCTGTCCGTCCGTCCGTCCGTAACAAATTGTGTCCGCTCTATATCTAGAGAACCGTTATGATTTCAAATTTTATACTTGACATGTATATTAACCAACACCAGAGTGTGTGTCATAATGTATGTACAACTTCCTAGGTCAAAGGTCAAGGTCAAAAACTTTAAAGTTGACAATCCCATGTCCTATGGTAAATATCGTGTCCACTCTATATCTTGAGAACCGTTATGATTTCAAAGTTTATACTTGACATGTATATAAACCAACACCAGAGGGTGTGTTATAATGTATGTACAACTTCCTAGGTCAAAGGTCAAGGTCAAAAATTTGGTTTTAGTTGACAACCCCATGTCCTATGGTAAAGATCGTGTCCGCTCTATATCTTGAGAACCGTTATGATTTCAAAGTTTATACTTGACATGTATATAAACCAACACCAGAGGGTGTGTCATAATTTATGTACAACTTCCTAGGTCAAAGGTCAAGGTCATAAACTTCGGTTTCAGTTGACAACCCCATGTCCAATGATAAAGATACAAATTTTTTACCACATATTATTCACAGCGGGGCCCACAGAGATGGCTCCCATCTCAATGATATCTAGTTGGGCTGGCCATGTTATAACTGGTCACTTTAACATTGTCATTAATCCTTTTTGTCTCGCCTGCCATGCAAGTCTCAATATGCGAGACATTAGTATTACTATTCAGCGAAGGCTGTGGCGGCAGCTTTTTAAACTATTTATATAAATCTTTATATTTCAGAAAGTATAAGACCTGGATGCTTCATACCTTGTGTGCAGATACCTTATGTTAAGAAGTTTCCATCTGTCATATGTTCATTGTTCTTCATTTTCATGGTTCATTGACTGTTTTTTGTTAAGTGAAATACTCACTTATTATTAGTAATAGGATAACCTTATTACATGGATCCGTGATCAAAGTTAAAGTTACATGGTCAAGTCCGTTTCTCAGATACTATAAGCAATAGGTCAACTATATTTGGTGTATGGAATGCTTGTACGGTGTACATGTCCGACTGACAGGATTCATCTGACTTTGACCTCAACTTCATGGTTTGTTGGACAATGTTTAGTTTTTATATGACCGCAAAAAATTTTGCGGTCATATATTGGTATCACGTCGTCATCATCAGCGTCGTCCGAAGACATTTGGTTTCCAGACAATAACTTTAGTAAATGTAAATAGAAATCTATGAAATTTAAACACAAGGTTTATAACCACAAAAGGAAGGTTGGGATTGATTTTGGGGGTTATAGTCCTAACAGTTTAGGAATTAGGGGCCAAAAAGGGGCCCAAATAAGCATTTTTCTAGTTTCCAGACAATAACTTATGGAACAGTGTATGGATCTTTCTGAAATTATACCACAAGATTCCATACCACAAAGGGATGGTTAGGATTGGTTTTGGGGGGTTATGGCTCAAACTGTTAAGGAATTAGGGACAAAAAAGGGGGAAAAACAAGGGTTTCCTGGTTAATGGACAATTAAAAAAAGTACAATGTTATGTTTGGATTACCTCCCTTACACTGCTTTTAAATTATGTATAAAGAAATGTTGTATTGTCTTGAGGTGATTAGCTATCAATTTATTTTAAGAAGTTACTATTTAAAAATGCTGATTAAGGAATATTAATTTTAGCCATGATTATGTATGTCATTTTCTATTTTAAGACTTTTATGATGTATTTAAATGGGTAATTATGGTTGCAAACTCCATTGGAAATTTGAATTGAGATTATGACAATATCTTGAGGGAATTTTTTTTTTTTGGGGGGGGGGGGAAGGGGGGGGGGGACAATTTTTTCTCATTTCAGATTTCAGAAATTAAAAAGAAAATTTCTTCAAATATTTTTTTGCAAAAAAAAGGGGGGGGGTAAATTTTTTTTTTTTGGAGGGGGTGGGGGGGGGGGGGGGGGTTAATTCGCAACAGCATAGTATTGCACAAAAGCAAAAAATTGAATATAAATTCAAATCATATAACCAATTCTAAGTTCTTTGACTAAAGTTATTCTGTGTCAGAAACCTATTATGTGTCAAATATTTAATTACAATCCAAACTCAGACCTGTATCAAGGGCGAATATTGTGTCCATTTTTGCCCCAACTGTTCAGGGTTGGACCTCTGCGGTCGTATCCAGCTGTGCTCGGCGAAGCAATTTATTGTGGTTTGGTCTATTTCTCAAATATTACAAGCAATAGGGTCACTATATTTGGTGTATGGAATGATTGTCAGGTGAACATTGTCTGTCTAGCAGGTTTCATCTGACCTTGACCTCATTTTCATGGTTCATTGGACAATTTTTAGTTTTTGTGGTTTGGTCTATTTTTCAGATATTATAAGCAATAGGTCAATAAAATTATTAGTGTATGGAACAATTGTGAGGTGTACATGTCTGTCTGGCAGGGTTTATATGACCTTGACTTCATTTTCATAGTTCATTGGTCAATGTTAAGATTTTGTGGTTTGATCTGTTTCTCAGGTATTATTAGCAATAGGACCACTATATTTGTTGTATGGAACGATTGTAAGGTGTATATGTCTGTCTGGCATGGTTCATCTGACCATGACCTCATTTTCATAGAATATTGATAATGTTAAGTATATGTGATACTTGTAGTAAAACCTTCATATTACAGACTTTCAACATGAATTTAATCATAAGTAAAACAGGCGAGACATTTCAGCCTATGCACTTTGCTTTTTGTTACCCGTTACCCACAAAATATATTCAGACAGGCACTGATCTTAAAAAGTTTGATTTGTGAGCAATCTGTGAAATGAATTTAAACATTGGAGACGGACTTGTCCAAAAAGAAACAGTTAAGAGAACACCCTCCAATTAGAGGACAAGGTGATAAGTATTGTTTTTTGATAATATTGATAATGAAAATCTTGATAAAAATGAACATTTTAGGTACAGTTCAGTCCATTTCATGTGAATATTAAATTATATTCATGTCTTTCTGCATCTGTTAAAGGGAGACTAAAAAGAACGTATAAACTATTGGAAAGAATTTGATACACATTCATTGTTTTGATCATTATTGATAATGGTTATTCCATCTCGTTTATCCCAACTTTACCAGATATGTTTAACAAGAACAAGAAGTTGGCCCATAAACTAGCTAAATTTGTTTAAGCTTAAATAATAATTGTATTGTACAGGTGAAATCCTGACCTCGTGTTGCTAATCCACTCCAGTTTTCGGTTTAAAGATTGGGGGAAAGGATGAAAAGTTTTTGTTTTTTTATTATCGTTGTTTTTTTTAGCTGCATGAGAACATTTTGAGCTACTGTTCGTTTTAGTCACTGGGATGGTTGTTATTGAAGCCACTAGGCTGGTATTATTGAAGCTACTGGGCTTGTTGTTATTGAAGCCACTGGGTTGGTTGTTATTGAAGCCACTGGGCTAGTTGTTTTTTAAAGCCACTGATATGGTTGTTATGAAATATACAGCTGTTTATTATAGAAGCTACTTGTTTGTCTGTTATTGAAGCCACTGGGCTGGTTGTTATTGAAGCCACTGGGCAGGTTGTTATTGAAGCCACTGGGCAGGTTGTTATTGAAGCCACTGGGGTTGTTGTTTTTGAAGCCACTGAGCTGACTGCTATTGAAGCCACTGAGCTGGTTGTTATTGAAACCACTGGGCTGGTTGGTAATGAAGGCACTGGGCAGGTTGTTTTTCTAGCCACTGGGCTGATTTTTATTGAAGCCACTGGGCTAAATATTTTTTAAAACCACTGGGTGGTTGTTTTAGTCACTGGGCTGGTTGTTGTTGAAGCCACCACCGAGCTTGTTGTTATTTAAGCTACTGGGCTGGTTGTTATTGAAGCCACTGGGCTGGTTATTTTTGAAGCCACTGGTTTGGTCGTTATTAAATACGAAGCTGGTTATTATTGAAGCTACTTGGCTGTTTGTCATTGAAGCCACTGGTCTGGTTGTTATTGAAGCCACTGGGCAGGTTGTTATTGAAGCCACTGGACAGATTGTTATCGAAGCCACTTGGATGGTTGTTAATGAAGCCACTGAGCTGGTTGTTAATAAAGACACTGGGCAGGTTGTTATTGAAGCCACTAGGCTAGTTGTTTTTTAAAGTCACTGATATGGTCGTTATGAAATACACTGAGCTGGTTGTTATTGAAGCTACTTGGCTGTCTGTTATTTAAGCCACTGGGCTGGTTATTATAGAAGCCACTGGGCAGGTTGTTAATGAAGCCACTGGGGTGGTTTTTTTTGAAGCCACTTAGCTGACTGTTATTGAAGCTACTGAGCTGGTTGTTATTAAAACCACTAGGCTGGTTGCTAAAGAAGACACTGGGCAGGTTGTTATTGAAGCCACTGGGCTGATTGTTATAGAAGCCACTGGGCTAAATGTTATTAAAACCACTGGGTGTTTGTTTTTTGTCACTGGGTTGGTTGTTGTTGAAGCCACCACTGAGCTGGTTATTATTGAAGCCACCACTGAGCTGGTTGTAATTGAAGCTGCTGAGCTGGTTGTTATTGAAGCCACTGGGCTGGTTGTTTTGAAGCCACTGGTATGGTCGTTATTAAATACACAGCTGGTCATTATTGAACTACTTGGCTGTTTGTTATTGAAGCATTTGGGCTGGTTGTTATTGAAGCCACTGGGCAGGTTGTTATTGAAGCCACTGGGGTGGTTGTTTTTGAAACCACTGGGCTGATTGTTATCGAAGCCACTGAGATTATTGTTAATGAAGCCACTGGGCTGGTTGATAATTAAGACACTGGGCAGGTTGTTATTGAAGCCATTGGGCTGATTGTTATTGAAGCCACTGGGCTAATTGTTTTTTAAACCACTGGATGGTTGTTTTTAGTCACTGGGCTGGTTATTGTAGAAGCCACCACCGAGCTGGTTGTTATTGAAGCTACTGGGCTGGTTGTTATTAAAGCCACTGGGCTGGTTGTTTTTTAAGCCACTGGTATGGTCGTTATTAAATATACAGCTGGTTATTATTGAAGCTACTTGGCTGTTTGTTATTGAAGTCACTGGTCTGGTTGTTATTGAAGCCACTGGGTAGGTTGTTATTGAAGCCACTGGGGTGGTTGTTTTTGAAGCCACTGGACAGAATGTTTTCGAAGCCACTTGGATGGTTGTTAATGAAGCCACTGGGCTGGTTGTTAATGAAGACACTGGACAGGTTTTTATTGAAGCTACTGGGCTAGTTGTTTTTTAAAGCCACTGATATGGTCGTTATAAAATACACTGAGCTGGTTGTTATTGAAGCTACTTGTTTGTCTGTTATTGAAGCCACTGGACTGGTTGTTATTGAAGCCACTGGGCAGGTTGTTATTGAAGCTACTGAGGTGGTTGTTTTTGAAGCCACTGAGCTGACTTTTATTGAAGCAAATGAGCTGGTTGTTATTAAAACCACTGGGCTGGTTGCTAATGAAGACACTGGGCAGGTTGTTATTGAAGCCACTGGGCTGATTGTTATAGAAGCCACTGGGCTAAATGTTATTAAAACCACTGGGTGTTTGTTATTTGTCACTGGGCTGGTTGTTGTTGAAGCCACCACTGAGCTGGTTGTTATTGAAGCTGCTGAGCTGGTTGTTATTGAAGCCACTGGGCTGGTTGTTTTGAAGCCACTGGTATGGTCGTTATTAAATACACAGCTGGTTATTATTGAACTACTTGGCTGTTTGTTATTGAAGCATTTGGGCTGGTTGTTATTGAAGCCACTGGGCAGGTTGTTATTGAAGCCACTGGGTGGTTGTTTTTGAAACCACTGGGCTGATTGTTATCGAAGCCACTGAGATTATTGTTAATGAAGCCACTGGGCTGGTTGTTAATTAAGACACTGGGCAGGTTGTTATTGAAGCCACTGGGATGATTGTTATTGAAGCAACTGGGCTAATTGTTTTTAAAACCACTGGGTGGTTATTTAAGACACTTGGCCGATTGTTATTGAAGCCACAGAGCTGGTTGTTATTGAAACCACTACGCTGTTTGTTATTGAAGCCACTTGGCTGAGATTCAGAAAAACATATTGGTATATTATTTGATATGAAAAAGATAACATTTTTATGAGAGTCACTGAAAGAATTACCCTGATACATAATACACGTTGTATACTAGAATAAATAATGTTCAGGAAAAAGAATATTACCTGGTAATCCTGCAAAAACTGTTTTTCAACTGGTAAAATATTTACTTTTCGTTTATACATGTTTCAGATTTGTTACATATTGGAAAGTGGACGGATTTTAATAAAACGGATGGTTATGTTAAAGAAGACATTAAAGCACAATTAACTGTTTCTCAAAATTTGGAAATTCAATAAATATTCCATTCTGTTTCCCGTTCTTAGTATTTCGAAAATGTGCACTTGTATCTGCAAGTGGCGTCTCCCATGTGAGAGTTTGTGGTTATTTGATAAATACTTTATGTTCGTTTGAGTTTACGAATTAAAATATAAATGTATTTATCAAAGTTGTACAAAAATTCGAACATGTAAAAGTGTTGTTTGTTTATGGTTAACACGTGTTTGGTTATTTATAGTAAGGTCGGTTCGATTGGGGTATTGAGTTTCATGCACGAGTGAATTTAGTCAAGCCATTGCAGTCAAAGTGTACAGTAGCAATTTGCTTTTAAAGTTTTATATTAATTAATGCATACAGTGTTTTATGAATTTATCTATGTATTTTGTAATAGGGATATAAGTTGGCCATATACTATAAATATTCTCATAATCGTCTATAAAAGATGCTATATTCTCATTTCGCTTTAACTGTCAATTTTTAAAAAGAAAATTTTTCCCATCTCATCTTAAGGATTTTCGCTACTCTGTTTCAAAATAACAAGCTTTTTAAAAGACTGTTATAAATTGATAGTATATAAATAAAGGAACAAAAAAAGCAGAAAAAAATGAGGGTCCGTGTGCTTGTTTTCGTGATATAAGCCATTGAAAATTTGGCGGGAAATTATTCTCTCTAGATTTTTCATACTTTTAACATTGACACCTTTTTCAAAAACTATGAAAAAATATCAAGGATTTTATAAAATTTTCAAAGAACTGCGAATTAGGAACTTGTGTAAACCTAACGGAAGCTAGGTTATTAAGAGTAATTTTGTATCTAATACTGTGTTCACGTGTAGAATGGTTTTGATTAGTGATAAAGAAATTGAAATTTTTGTGATAATGAATATGCAGCAAGAGAAACGTTAAATTAATATATTGAGAGATACATATTTAGTTTAACCAATGGCTTGTTAATTTCAACCATAACAGCACAGAAATAATGACTATTTCAACAAAAGCATCGTAAACGTCAAAACCCACACGTTTATATGAATTATGTTATCATCAGAGAAATATATCGTGCAAACATATAGGGATTATTTTAAATGACGACTGCAATAATCATATAAAAATAATT